GCCTGAGTTCTTCTCTGCCAGGGAGCTACCCACACGGCGCGGCAGACCTCTCCTGTCTCCCCCTGCTCCCCTCGGCAGTGTGTTTCAGTCAGTCTGCCTGTTCAGCTCCCCACTCTGTCTCTGGTGAATCCTCTCACCCCCTGCACCTCTGGCCTGTACCACAGTTCTTGTATCATAAATAAAAATAAATCTTAATATATATATATATATATATATAAATTTTCAGAGCGGTAAATCAAAGTTCTTTGAGGGTGTCATCTTTATTTGATACTTAGAAGCTACAGTTTTCCTGACTCTTATTAAGGATAGAGTCTGTGTCCTTGGTTAGTTAAGCAGTAAATATCTGTTTATCATCATTAAATGAGTTTTAAATTGTTTTTTCAATGTCACCTTAGAATAATTTAAGTAGTAATATCTAGTGTTAGTGTTTGGTATGTAGTCTTATCCTGCCACCACTAAATATAACTTAGTATGTCTTAACCTATTTTTTGCCATTAATGTTATTTTTGATGGGGTAAGAAATCTTTTCTGTGGACGAAATAGGATTTTTTTCAAATTGGATTTTAATTACCTCCTATTTTGGTAAATGTAGTGCTTTAATAGACATTGGTTTATTGTGCCAAGCCCAGTAGCCCCCAGAGGGAGTATAAATACAAGCAAAGGAGCCAAGGGATAAACCAGTGTTTCAGGAAAGAAGGTGGCAGAAAGGGAAAGCTTTACCTTAGTTCTGAATCATTAAGGCTTGACATTTCTTTATTCTCTCTCTTTAGTTTACCCTAGTGTTTTCTTTTTCTGTTTTCTCTGCAGTCCTGAACTTATCCTCAATCTTTTGCTAGCATTGATTCCTTCAGATTATAAGCCTGGTTTGTCTACCCCTATTACATAAGCTTTTCACTGCCCCCCCCCCTCAGCACTTTCTCTTTTCTTAGACTTCGTCTCTTATTTCAGTAATCTTTTTCTAATGCTTATCACTTAACCTTTTCATGTTTCCCACATACCTCTTTTTATATTATTTAATGTAGCAAAATCAGATATATTCTTGTGGGACAAGAGTGAAAATAGTTTTTAGCCATGTTCCATCTACTAGCAGCAGCTCTTTTTATCATGTATAGTTTCCAGAGGACCATTTAAACTTGTTTGCTACAAATGCTATTCCATGTACACCTATGAGTTAGGTGGACAGGTCTTATTCTTCCTGTTTTACAGATAAGAAAACCAAGACAGTAACACGTTGCATGAATTGTACCTAAGCCAGTCAGTGCCAGGATGTGTAGAAATCTGGAGCAGGAGGAAATTCAGTGAAGATTTTACTTTAAGGAATTTAAGGTTTTTATCTATAAAAAGTGATTTTTCCCAGATCATCAAACTAAGTTGTAGGCTAGAATTCAAATTCCCTAACTCCTTAGGTAGCACTTTTTTTTTAAAGATTTTTTTTTTATTTATGCATACAAGAGCTAGGGTACAGGCCAGAGGTGTGGGGGGGTGAGAGGCTTCAGCAGAGACAGAGTGGGGAACAGAACAGGCAGATTGACCGAACTACACTGCTGAGGGGAGCAGCGGGCAAATCAGGAGAGGTCTGCTGCACCATGTGGGTTGCTCCCTGGCCCTCCGGGGATCTGGGATCAAACTCAGTGCTGCAGAGGCTGCGGATTGCTTCATAGGTTGCCTCTTAACCCCTTCTGCCACCAGGGAGACATATGTAGCACTTTTTCCTAATGCTTTTTCCCTTCTCCCAGGGTGAAAGACTGTATGTACTGAACAGCACCAGTGTCTTTACTCCATGTTTCAGTTGGGTTAGACAGAATGTAACATGTAATGCAGTTGCGACCTTCATCTTCAACCAAATTGGTCATGTACATAAAATGCATTCTTGTATTTATTGCATTTTGGACTATTCTGTGATGTAATCAGTGGGGAGTGATAATCATACCCAAAAGACTAATATTCTTTTCTACCTCTCCTTTTTTACTGTTTTGTACAGTCATTCAAAAGAAGAAACTTGGAGTTTAGAATTATTTAGGAATAAATTTAACTTACACATATAGCAAAATTTTGGATAATTAGTAGGTTCAAGAATTGAATTTTTTTTTTTTTTTAACATTTTGAAAGCATGGCTTTATTAGGAAAAGGAGAAAAGCAAAAAAGAGAGGCACCTGCATGGACACAGCTGGGCAGTCTAGGGAGGAGGGCGGCTGCTACTGCTGCTGCTGCTCTGCAGAAGGAAAAGGTTCATGAAAAGAAATGTCTACAAAGTCAGTCACGGGCAGGCAGGCCCGCCGAGCTGCCCGGAAATCGAATATTAATGACTACTTTAACCCTTGTCAAAAATTTTTCAAAAATGTTTCTTCTTTACTGAGGTAAATGTATTCATTTATTAACCTATTAGGGCTCTTGTTGCTTCAGTGTTACACAGATATTCTGTGTACCTGTTAATTTTCACTTTTTAATAGTTTATACGGTCAAAATAGTTGATTTCAAGATGTATTTTAGATGCTTGTGTTTTTAAGGAGTCACAGTTTAAGGATTATTGTGTTCAAAAGGAAGAAGTGTGAATAATGGTGGCTGCTGGATAGTGAGAATTTAGAGGTTTTTGTAAGCAGGTTTCTTTATTTAGTGAGAAAAAAAGTCCTAATAATGTCCGGTACTGCTGTGAACAAGCCGATACCAAAGCTCTGACAAAGAAACCAGGCCGAGGAGATGAGGAACCTAGGGAGTTTTGTTGTTTTTTTTTTTTTTTAATTAAGGATATTTCAAGTTAGATTCTAAAATAGTAAGTTGTGACTAATAAGATGAAAATAATCATTAACTCTCTTATAAGATCTGAAGTAATGTTGCCCTTGAGAAAAGTGGGCATTGCAAAGCATGATGACATTGCTCAACCTACCTTTTTTGTCAGCCTAAGCAAGAGGAGACTTTCTCTTTTCCTCTAATACATGCCTATTTTTAACATTAAGTTTCACATAATTTCAAAAATATCTTTAAAATACACCTTTCTGGCCCTGAATTAGTGAGTGTATATATTTGTCCTTTTTGAAATCTCATAATTAGGCTATAGAGTGCTGGGTAATTTTTATACTTGGGGGAACCTACTACCTTTCGAAATGTTGTCTTGTGAGAGTAAGAAAAATAAGCATAATATTTTAATGCAGATACCTTGCTTAGAGAATTATAGTCATAAAAGTAAAAATACTTTCACTGCTATGTAAATTTTCATCGTGAAGGAATGAAAAGAAAAGGGATATTTGGGGGAAATGGCTTATTCAGTATATGTGTTCACTTACATGTTTTGTCAGAGACTGAAATTGAGGAAGAGTCTTGGCTTTTCTGGTGGTTTTTGAAGAGAGTTGATCAGAGATTGCTTTTTGGCTGAGTTGCTGTCTGCAGAGGCTGTTAACAATTGTTTCTCTGGCAGCAGATCTTGTTCATCAGGATTGCATCATTTCTGGGAGAATGGCCAAGGTCCACAGCCTCAGTACAAAGACTGTCTGAAGCATATGAGGCCTGTTCTCTCTCTGCAGCGGCACTCCTCTTCCTGCCAGTCCTCTTCACAGGCTTACTAAAGCAGACTTGTTCTCAATTTCTTTCATTGGATTGGCTGTTTATTGGACTCTTGTCTCCCAGCTGCTTCCGGCTCACCTGGCTGATGCAATTTCTTTTTCTGAAATCTCTGTTGGAATTGGTCTTAAAACACTTTTTGTCTGTCTTCTTTGAGTGACCAGGCAGATCACACGGGTCTTGTGCTTTCAGCAAGTCATGTAGAGAAGAGCTGTCAAAATTACACATGCAGAAACTATTTTGAACCCAATTAAAAAGACAAGGGGTAATTATAAACCCTTTCTGGCATGTTCTATTTAACAGCTTTTTCCTTAGAAACTGAATGTAAATGGTAACTTCTCAAAAGAGTTCTCCGGTACTGGGAGAAAGGCTGGTTCTGCCTCTGAATCCAAGAACTTACCAGTATTCCTGTGGATTCTGCTAAATTGTTCTGGAAATGGTTAAATTGATATCAAAGTGAAGTTCTGATGCATCCACTTTCCCACTACTTACTTCTCTTCTTCCTCCTGTATCCTTACTTTTTTTGTTGTTACTAAAGAAATCTAATTTTGTCTTGGTTGAAGTTTTTTTCTTTTATATTACCTTTATACCTTTCATTATTCCAAGTATGTTCTTTAAAGACTTCCTAAAGAATAATTTATTTCCAATTCTTAATACATTGGAAACCTATAAAATATCAACCTAAAGTACATTTTTTCCTCTACTGCTTGGTACTGGAATCCCACAGATGCCTCTTTTCACAGGTATGCCACAGCAATGTTTCAGATGTCAGTACCCCATCTGACTGCTAGTCCTGGGTCATCACCTCTTTTGCTTTCCTTTTTGGAGGGTAGAAATTTATTTAAGACTGTTTTCCCATGCGTTGCCACTGTGGAGTTGACCGCAAACGGCATAGACTTTTGCCACTCTTTTTCTGTAGTAAGACTGGACAGGTCGGATGGAGCGAGGAGGGGAGAAAGAAGTAATATAAACTGGTATTTTAATAGGCGATATAGGTCATTGTCTGGACAGTAAATGTGATACTTGGTTAAAGAAAAGCTTCTGAATTTGGGAAGGGTTTAGCAGGAAAGAAAAGCACCTTCTAGGAGAGGGGGAAAAGAAAGAACTTTCCCTTGGGAATTGGGAGACATTGCTAATTAGAAGGCTAGAATATTGCGTGGTGACATAATACAGCATTTTGCTGCTTTTTATTTAGTCAAGTAGAGATAATTTCCCTACCCACCCATTGTTTAAGCCCTGGCTTTATGGTAAAATAGGATATAAAGGTTAAAGGGCAGAAATACAGTACTAGGCTATAGATGGGGTGGTAAACAGAAAGCAGCCCGTATAGAGAAATGAAATATCAAATTATCATTAAAATGTTATTTATTCTTTGTGTCCAAAAATACTTTGTGTCCAGTATTGTGATTTATTTCAATACTAATTTGTGTTTCAACTGTTTGTAGGTCTTCAGAGCTCCTGGAAGATAACTTCTAGGACTTCATATTCAGAGGTCTACAAAAAGGTGACTGAGCCAGATAAATTCCTTTAATTTGTTTTAATTTTTGTATCTTAGTGACTGCTAGCTAAAATCGTGTGTTGAGAGAATAGTGATCATACTTTTTTTTTTTTTTTTTTTTTTTTTTTTTTTAAAGATTTATTTATTTATTTATTTATACAAGCACTGGGTACAGTCAGAAGCGCGGGAGGGTGAGAGAATTCACCAGAGCCAGAGCGGGGAGAAGAACAGGCAGAAGGACCGAAGTACACTGCTGAGGGGAGCAGCAGGCGGCAGGAGAGGTCTGCGCGCCATGTGGGACCCTCCTCCGGTGGCCGGGGAGCAGCCGGGGATTGAACCAGCGCCGCAGAGGCTACGGGCAGCTTCGCAACCCAGCGCTCAACCGCTGCGCCACCAGGGGAAGCCCATACTTTTTTTTAAAAAAAAAAAAAAAGATTTAATTTATTCATTTATACAAGCACTGGGTACAGTCAGAAGCGCGGGAGGGTGAGAGAATTCACCGGACAGAGCGGGGTGCAGAACAGGCAGACAGACGGAGGACACTGCTGAGGGGAGCAGCAGGTGCTGCAGGAGAGGTCTGCGCGCCATGTGGGACCCTTGCTGGCAGCCGGGTATCGAACCAGTGCTGCAGAGGCTGTGGGCAGCTTCGCAGCCCAGCGCTCAATGTTGCGCCGCCAGGGGAGGCCCGGTGATCATACTTTATTTGGAACATATTTCTTGAATACCCTCTCTGTGCCAGACACCATAGCAGAGTGTAAAACTCAAAAATTCCTGCCCTCGTAGACTTCATATTCTGATAGAAAAGGACAAATTAACACATAAAAGATACCTTGAAATTGTTCCACTTAGTGACAAAATTAATTCTCACTCTCTAGGAGACATCTTAAGACTCTGATAAATTAATAGCTCTTATAAATAGTGAGCTTGGTAAACTATACTAAGAGTCTGTTGTCTTGATTTATAAATCTGGAACAATTACAGTAAGAAATCACTGCATATTGATTATCAAAAGTTCTTCAGTTAACATTTTAATAGCTACTTTTTGCACAGTGTTATTTTTAGGGAAGGAATTATTGTCAGAATTTATGAGAGAAATTTGGCTTTATTTTCTTAAATTAAAAAAAGCCCCAGTAGTATTGTAAAAGCCTTTTCTTGTCAAAGAACAAGGTGGTAAACTAACCTAATAAGCAACTCCCTTCATCCAGAGGGTAGAAGGGCCAGGGCAACGCAGAGGAAAATGGAGGCCTGCATGAGGACAGTGTGTAGTTATTCCTTAATGTTTCTTGAAGTTGTGTATCAGCAGCGTAGTGTTTCACTAGAGAATATAGTAATCATTTATTCATTCATTAAAGGGATATTAGCTGAAAGAATCTTCTCAGTATGTCTTACTAAGATTACTCTCAGAAAAATAACAACTACTAGCTTAGATCTATAAGTTGTCTTTTATCGAGAAGCCTACTTTTTTTACTTTTTTTTTTTTTTAACAGGCATGTATCATTGTGGTTATGGCTAAGGACTTTTAATGGTGTTGAGTAACTTTTTTGTCCTTTACAGCAGATATAGCACATAATTTACATTCCTGTATTGGTCAGGCTGAATATGATCATTATTAGACTTTGTTCTGGTTATCTAGTCAGGTATGCTAGACTGTTAGAAAAGCCAGGTATGTGGACTTTTTCCTTTTAAATCACAATTACATAAAAGAAAAAAAAATTGTATGGTGATACTAGAATTAACATAAGAATTGTGGCCAATAATTCTCACTCTACAATAACTTCTTTTAGCCTTGTTTGATAAGCATTTTGTCATGTATCATTTATAGATTTTGTTTCCATTTCCTAGAGACTGGGAGGCTTTCTAAATCTCTGGGCATATCGTTTAGGGAGGCGGGCAAATGTATAGGATAGGCCCAGAAGCAGAAAGCTGCGCTAGTGTCTTTTATGAGCTGCAGGGAAGCAGAGGAAGATTTCCCCTCTTCATTTCTGTCTGGAGTCTGTCTGTCACCTCCTGTTGAGTAGGAATAAGAATATAGCCACAGCCAGAAGAGAGTCCTAGGTACATTGGTGAGATACAGCTCTTTCAAAGAGTGGTTCCAAGAAACTAAAGAAGTCTATAAACTAAGAAGTCTACAGCTGCTCTCCCATTCTGAAATAACAGCACAAATCAGTGATACTATCTTTGCATGTCCTTCAAAGGGTTTGCCTGATAAACTGCTCAATAATTCGCTTTTATGTATCAACATAAGAGTCAAGCATCTCAGATAAGCTATCATTTAAAATTTGTTTTAATCCCTGAATTCACTCACATTAATATTGTGGACTTTGTGTTGCATTTAACTCTCTTTTCATATAGTCATTTTTCTACTGTCTTATGAACCAGAGTCCTATCAGTCAGTACCCTGTAGTGTTTTTTACAAAAGTCTTTATTTACCTGCTTAACATTCACATTGACTTCCCTTCCGTCCTACATAAAATACTTTTGTTTCATTCATTTAATGGTTTTTGCATTACTGTGAAACCAATATAAAATCATAAAACTGTACTTTTTTTCTTTGTACCATATCTCCAAATCTTTTCATCTACTTTTTTTTTATTCTTAAGAAATTTGTGGATATTTCTGTTCTCAAATTGCAATGGTGGTGGTCACCAATTCAAGGTATCCTCGACTGCTTTTCCATAAAAAACTTTTCTTGTCTTTATCTTGAACCTGAACTCGTAGTGGTTGATACTTTTATTCTTACCAATCTGTGAGTAGTACCTAATAAATACAGTTAAGCTAAAATCTTCCAAATTTATTGTTAAACTTAGATGGTTTAGAAGGAGGAAGAGAGCATTTCGTGACAAAAGAAAATAGGGAACAACTTGATTTAGTCAGATATAAACAGATTGATCTCTTATATTTAACTTGAAAGAAATAACATTATGGACTGCTGATAATACTGCATTTATTTGGTTTGAAAATGTTTAAATAAAGACCTTGAATTGTTCAAGAATTTACTTAACTGGTATTAACCATTCTGCATCTGTATCTTAACTGGTCTTAACTGTTCTGTATCTTAAAATTTGTAAATTAGATCCTAGGGGGCCAGAAATTTTGGTTCGATGAGCAATTCTAGATTGGGGGAGGGTTCCTAATAATGAACCAGGCAGACTGTCCCTTTCCCTAATCTAAAAAGAAAGGAACTGGGCCTCCCTGGTGGCGCAAGGGGTTACGCACTAGGAAGCAATCCGCAGCCTCTGCAGCAAGAGTTCCGTCCCAGGGCAGCCAGGGAGAAACCCACAGGGCGCAGCAGACCTCTCCCGTCTCTCCCACTGCTCTCCTCAACAGTGAATTTCAGTCAGTCTGCCTGTTCTGTTCCCACTCTGTCTCTGGTGAATCCTCTCTCTCTCTCTCTCTCTCTCTCTCTCTCTCACACACACACACACACACACACACACACACACCTCTCTCACGCCTCTGGCCTGTACCCGTTCTTGTGTGCATAAATAAATGAATCTTTAAAAAAAGAAAAGAACTACATAGAAATGAAAAACAAGTGGAATGTTTTGCTCCCTTGCATGGTAGAACATTAATTCAGTTTATAGTAAACATGGAACAGTGTTATATTTCTTTTATATTTATATTGCTTTATAAATAGTTTTGCCATGTTTTCTTTTACATTTATCTCTTAAAAGCCTTGTGCAGAAGTAGAAAACATTCAGTAGCATTTAGGATCAATTTTCAAAGAACAATCTGATTACTACATTACTTTATTTTTTTCTGTGGCAGGATTCCTCATGTCCATAACATGTTGGTTGCGGCTCTGCAGCTCACCCCCACTCACAGAGTGGCCAGTCTCCATTAATTGGACCCCGTGATTTCCACTCTGTTGTGTTGGACGTCATGAGCATTGCAATCCCTCTGGGAGTCACCACACCAGATACATCCTACTCAGATATGGCTGCTGGATCAGAGTAAGTGCTGCTTCCTAGGTAGTAGGTACATTACCAGTTTGTGTGGAGACAGTTTTCTTACGGGCATCTAATAATAAATACATAGTATTTTCTAAATCAAAACTAGCCCACTTAAACATGACAATAGACCTTTCCCTTACCCCCAGAGAAGCTGGTGGGGGGAGGGGGGAATTAGAAGGGGCAGCAGAAGAATTTTGGGGGAGGGATTTCTAAGTATATAATGAACAGAATTAAGGTTGCAAAGTAGTGATTACATTTTTATTTGGTTTTGATGGGTGGGAAAGATTGGAATCAAGTAGGTGTTATTACCTGCTTCTGTAGCGTGTAATGGTTATTGGATGAAGATAGGAGGAGTTCTCTCCAACTGATTTTCCTTGAAGGCCTCTTCCTATGTACTTCTCATTGTTCTAGAGTAAAGGGGCTGAAACTTTATTTGGGCAGGTTGCTTAGACCTTCTGACATTGGGGTAGAAAAAAGGAAAAGCAGTGTCATTTGTTTTTTATAATATTCATTGCCTAGAAAGAGGACCTTCAAAATCAGTGGTACCAAACTTTTTTTTCAGCTAAGAGCAGCTTTAGGAATTCAGAGTTTGTCGAAAAGCCCAATCCCTAAAATAGACTCTCAATTCTTGAAGAATTTAAATGCCAAATGCAAATGAAGGTAGGCCTTCATTATAAAATTTTATATATTATTCACAGCTTTAAATTTTTTAGCCTTATGTATCCCTTCTCTTTTAAGTTGTCCAAGATTCCCCCTGCTCACAGATTCCCCCTCTTGTCCTTTTACCTCCCTTGTACCCAATCTTCCTTGCTTACAGAAAGGAAGTGGAAGCCCCCTACCTTTCAAGACGAAGTGGCACTACACCAGGATGTGAAAGTCCAGCGAAAGAGACCCAAGGGGCCTAGGGGGCAGCACACCCCCAGAAGCCAAGTCTATTCCAGGCAGTACCAGGGATTAGGGTCTGGGCTGGAAAAATCCTGGTGTTTTGAATATGTTCAGGTCCAGTTCAGACTCTTGATCCCACAGCCACTTCTTGAGTGAGGTGGGTGTTGCTCTAATTCCCCTGTTTCTCTTGCCATTTTCACAGTCCCTGGGGATTCTCCCCCTTCTCCCCTCAGCAAAGCAAAGCAACTGTACCAGAACTCTGGGTTCACCTGCATTCCTGGTTAATAGTGGTTTTCGTCCTTAAAACTGAAATATTATTGAAGAGCATGTATATTTCTTCACAAAGCCACCTAGGATAACTTCACTGTATAGTGACTTCCTTAAATGGGAAGACTTGAAATAAAACTACCCTAAGAAGCAATATATTATATTCTGGGGTAGTCTAGAATTAAAAGTAGTTTTCAGCTTTATTCCCATATGTCAAGAAAGGTGGGGGGATGGATAAGGGTGGATTGTGTTCCTCCCAGGGTGTTTGTTATTTTTCTCCTATTTGTTTTGTTGGGGGTGGGGGGTTGCATGCCAAAGACATTTAGTCATGCCAATAACTGAGACTTCCCAGTTTTACAATTATTCCCCAAATGAAGTACTTAAAAATTGTCCTGTATTAGTAAGTAACCTAGTAATATGTTGTTAATGGATTTTTCTAAAGTTAATCACTGTTCTCCTTTGGAGATTGAGTAACAACTGTATAGTTAGTCTTAATCAACATTGAGTAGTTTCAACAGAGTTTAAATCATAGAGTTTTGGGATTTTAGATACGAAAAGGCCTTAACACAAGTATTATTGAAACTGGTGTTTTTACCAGAGTACGGAGATGACTGCCCATAGATGTTTCTGGGGAGTCCAAAAGTGAATGCAGAAAAAAAAATTTTTTGCCCTGAGCATTTGTTTTACCACAGCTTTGATTTCCTGAAACATTTTTATATCTAATCTCCAGATTTCTGACACTAATTGGTCAAAACTAATTGCAGGTACTCACTTAATATACAAAGCAAAAACAAAAAAAAAGTCAACAATTAGCTTATATGCCATACTGTTAAATTATTGATGATGTTCATTATGCATGTTCCACTGTCCTGCGTAGTCGAGTGTTCCAGAAGCTCTGAAGGGCAAACATAATTCAACTTAGTAAAAGACCACATGGAACCTTAAATCTGATGGCAACAGTGCGCAGTATGCATTTTTTTTATTTAATTGTAGGAAAACCTCTAAATGTAATAATAAAAGGAAAGACTTCTCAATTTATAACCCTCCCATAAATGAATTTGAGATATTTTCCAAAGGGAGCATATAGCACCAGGTTGCACATTGTACTTAGGACACAATTGATGCGTATATCTGTTGTAAGGATGGCTTCTGTGTTTTTGCCCAGCTGTCATAGCAGTTCAAATACTGGAGAAGAAAGGCTATGATTCCATTTACATAAAATGGTTGACTAATAAAGAGATACAACACCCCAAATTTTTAATCCATTTTTTAAAATATAGATAAGCGCTAGTAGAGTATGTGTGTGTACATATATGCGTGTATATACATATATGTATGTATGTCAAAAAGTATAGGAAATCTATCAGCCTGTCAACATGTAACTATAATTAATACCTACTGTGGAAATTGCAGAGTTTTTGTTTTTTTATGGAAACATAGAAGCTTAAATTTTAGTATTTGGCATGCATAGCATTATATTAAATGCTGTGCTTGACTAGAAAGTACTGTGCAGTGGGATGGCCTGTTAACCTCCACAATATACATTTTATTTTTATTCCTAGACTTGCACATGACGTGCATATGTTCATATTTACCCAGTTTGGAGATGGGTAAGATACAACCAACATAGCTCCATCTCCATGGCCATCTTTTATTTCATGCAGCTTTCCTTCTTCCCGTCCAAAAAAAAAATCCATTCCTAATAAACAGCTGTCATGTTTCACCCCATGTGTTCAGTGATCCAAAATCCCTTATTTAATCTATTTAGAGCTTTTTGGAATACTTGTTTATCTAGTAAATTAACAATGTTGTATGAAGTTATTGTTACTTTCTCTTAACCATCATAGAAAGTAAATTCTACCTTCATTTTATTAATGCTTGTTTGCCTTTGGTTTCATTTAGGAAACCCCACCTGTTTCCTAATACTCAGAGCTGATTGCCTCTCAGTGAACCATGTTCAGATCATCTTTTTCTCAAGAATACTGACCTGCATTCTTGATGTACCCCCTCACCCCCCAGTTCCCATCTTACAGACACTCTTAAGTAATAAAGTGCATGCACTTCACTAACAGAGAATACTTTCCTGTGTCTAAAGTTCTTCTTCACCTAGAAATTACCTTTGCTGTTATTAATAAGATCCCTTCTCACAGTTTTGGAGCATATAACTGGGTGAGTTGGATATATATCTAAGAATTTTCTTTTATCCCTCACTTCTCAGCTGATTGCACCATGTTGAACTGCATACTTATGTATTCCTGCCACATATGTTGCATATTTCTAAGCAGGAAATGTATGTTTCCTGAAGTAAGCTGTGTATTATTTGATTCCCTGAATGACCCTTTGATCTCTAAAGATGAGAGTTATGCTTGTCCTTGGCGTCTCTAATGTGTGAATCTCTGCTCTGGTTAATTTCACTGACAGCTAATCTGTTATTGATTCCTCAAAGTCTACAAGTACATTCCATAATTAATTTTCAAAATTCTTCCAAACCTAACCAGGTAGCAATGAGAATTAAAGTCTTTTTTTCCCAGAAACTTGAATTTTGTCTTCTGCCACCAATGCTTTGCTTTATTATCAAGTAAAGACTTACATTAAATTTCTGAAATTAAACATATTTATGATTCTTTTATGTTAGTAACTTGTGCTTGACCGATTTATTTTCCATTCATTGACGGTATTAGAAAAAAATACTAGACCAAGCTTCTCACTAAGCCTGGTTATTTAAGGTCTCATGTAATTTATTTATTTATTTATTTTTTTAAGGTAGAGTGTTAACCCTGTTTTACAAATAAATTAGGCATAGTGGAAAGAGAACAGACTTGGGAGTCAGATTGTTTCAAATCCTGGCTCTGTCAGTGTGTGACCTTTGTGAAGTCACATAATCTCACCACCTCACCTTCCCCTACTGTTGTAAAAATAGGGTGCACATACCATGTTCAGTAATTGCAGAGATTAAATGAATAATGTATATAAAGAACCTGGCAAATACCAGGCAATTTAAAACGTAGCCATCACTTGTTTTTACTTACCACTAGGCTAACGTAACTTCTGAGTACAGTTTTGATTATTTTTAAATTCTGTGGTATTACCATGCAGCTGTTAAATAACTGTGTCCTAGATATGCTTGCATGTCACTGGTGGATGAGAAGTTATTACTCTAATATTTGAAAGGCATTTGGGGGTTCATCAAGATGAGAGGTGTGATAAATATAAGATGCCATTGTTTTTACCTGTACTTTCTTCAGGGTATCCTGTCTTGGTAGTGAATGGAAGAGGGCCTGGTCCCTGGGGCAGTGCAGAAGGCACTTTCATCATCTCACTCACTGCAAATGTCATGTGAGGTTTCATGGAAGTATTAAGAGATCCAATTAAGAAGAATAGTTCTGAGTCTAAACCAGCCCAGAGTGGCTTCTCTAGGGGAAACTCCCTGCTCAGCTGGTACGTTTGTGTTTGTCATTAGGGACGCCTTGTGTCCCAGGTGCCTGCCTTGAGACATCTGCCTGTACTGGCCTCATGTTACACACAAATCCACATTTGATAACACTCCTGTTATTTATAGGCTTAGTTATGTTAATCAGATTGTTTCACTCAGTTTTTTCTCTTGTTCTAGTGGCTGGTGGTTGTGGAAAGTGGAGGGTTAGAATGGGAAGTTAAGATTGTGTTTAAGAGAAGATTAGGTGTTATGCTATCATGCATTGCTTTTCGCCTTTGTGCAGCCCTGAATCTGTGGAGGCTAGTCCAGCAGTTAATGAGAAGAGCGTGTATTCCACTCATAATTATGGGACCACTCAGAGGCATGGGTGTCGAGGACTGCCTTATGCTGTGAGTATGCATTTGTTTCTCTCCAGAGCAGTGATCTTCCTGGAGTGTAATCCATTCTTATACATTGTGACTTTCTTGAAATGTTTATATGCAGCATGACGAAGTTGCCCCTTTTGCACTTCCCTGCCTCCAGCGGACGTCTAGCCCTGCATCATTGTTCTTGTTTTTATGTCCCAGTTGACCTTGGCATTTTGTTTTATCACTTTCCTGGTTGAAGCCAAAAAGCGAAGGGTACTACTTTCTTCTTTCTTTCCATATGTACCATACTTTAGGGGAGAGAGGGGCCAGTGTTTGGACACTGTTGATTTAAAAAATCTTATTTTCAGGATCATAATTACGGAGCCCCTCCTCCTCCGACACCTCCTGCTTCTCCCCCTGTCCAGACGATCATCCCTCGTTCTGACCTGAATGGCCTGCCGTCGCCCGTAGAGGAACGCTGTGGAGACAGCCCGAACTCTGAAGGAGAGACTGTTCCTACCTGGTGTCCTTGTGGTCTTTCTCAGGATGGCTTCCTTCTCAACTGTGACAAGTGCAGGTAAGCTCTCGTCTCGTCTTAAGTTCAGACTCGGGTTGCTGGGATCAGGGTTTCTTGCTAGTAGGGAAAAGCTCAAAGTATTCTTTCTTGTGTTTGTTAATGTAGATGATTCCTTAGTGCTCCTTGGCTCGAATTCTCTGCACTAGGTGAGAATTGCTGACAACAAGGAATGAGAGATTGATGTTAAAGCTATTGAATTTGATATGAGATTTAATGTCCTGGAAACATTTGGTAGGTGGGAGGAAGGGGGTAGGATGTGCAGAGACACTTCTCCCGTGTGCGAGGATGTGCTGCGTGCTGTCGGAAGGACCACTTTAAGTCTATTTTCCCTCTTTAGGGGAATGAGCAGGGGGAAGGTTATTAGACTTCATCGGCGGAAGCAGGACAACATATCAGGTGAGCAGAAGATGGGTTAGGCCCATATTTTGACTTACAAATACTTTGTGATTTCAATATTCTTGTCAAGAACCCCTCCTGTAAAGCTCCCCCTTTTCATTGGGAAGAGATAAACGTTCTCTTAAGACCATCCTTTAATTCTCTGCTGTGAATTAAATGTATCCAGAAACAACATTTGAACCCTCTGGCAATCAAGTTTTCCTTGGGAGTATTAAAAAACAGATCCCTTTTCTATGTTACACATTGAGGTTGGGGACTGCATACAAGGGGAGATGATGTAGAACAGGGTTTATGGTCTTAATGCCAGCAACACGGAAGGGATCTCGTTTTCTTACGGAAGGTGAGTATGTTCCAGATGATAGGGTTAAAGTGGAACTCATGACTTAGTGGATATGGGATAGATCTACAGGAATAAGCTGCTTCCAGTGCATGTTGCAGGCTGTTTATTCAATGCGAACCATGAAATAACCTTTTTTCAGGTGGGGATAGCAGTGCAACAGAAAGCTGGGATGAGGAGCTTTCTCCTTCCACTGTGTTGTATACAGCAACACAGCACACACCTACAAGCATCACCTTAACTGTTAGAAGAACCAAACCCAAGAAGCGGAAAAAGAGTCCAGAAAAGGGTCGTGCAACACCAAAGACGAAGAAAATCAAGGTATGGGGGGTAAAAGTGTCGGAATAGAAATGGGTCTGAAATAGCTCAATTTTTGGACCAAGAATGCACCAGAATTCTTTTAAGAAGTTTGCTCCAGATGTTTGATGGGCCACTTTTGTTCTACTTATAAAATTCAGCTAATCTCTTTTATGAATATATAGACCAACCTCTCTTCTGCCACTCCATACCATCACCACTGGCACAAAGTTTTTTTTACTCTAACCCCCATCTCGGGTACGAAATCCCAGCCCCACCCGGCACAAGCCCACTTGTGCTACAGCCTCCAGTCTAGACTTCTACTGCCCTTACAATATGTCCCCTGCCCTCAGCCGTAAAGCAGCCTATGAAATTCTTTCCCTGGTACATTCCCACCTCATGTCATTGGGTTGGTTGTTTTCCGTGTTTCAAAAAAAAAGTCAGAAAACATCTCTTGAGTGGTCTGGGCTTCCTTAGCATTGTGGTCACTTTCCTAATTCTCAACGAAAAAGTCTCGAGGAAGAACCTCTTCTGTTTCGTGTCTTCTTCCCCTTCATGGCAACCTTGTTGGCTCCTAGGTGACTTGCCCCTTGTTAAGGGGATTGGTCTTTGTTTCCTTCTTAATTCCAAAACTGGTAAATATGCAACCTGACTTAACATTTTGATTTACTTTTTCTTTTAGTGTCAGGGTACACAGAGGATTTAACTGATGCATGCTCTTCCCTGTTAATTAGCTAGTTCCAAAGTGGAAAGTATTGTAATTAGCCTCCGAGTTCACTGGCCTTGAGCTGCCCCTGTTCTTCACGAGTGTGGGGAATGCCATTGTATTTGTCACCTAAGGAAAAGGGGGCAGAACAGAACACTAGTTCTTGCCTTAGTTTTAGTCTCAGATAGGTATAACTGTCATTCTTGGTACCAAGTTTTGTTTTGTTCTACTTGTTTTCCTCTTTGGGATAGGCATTTCGAGAGGGATCCCGGAAGTCCTTGCGGATGAAGGTAAGGGGTATTCTTCCCTGCTGCTGTGTTTTTCTTCACTGTGATCTTGCATTTTGGTCAGCTTCTTTCCTGACGTGATGGTCTGGGAATCTTGGACTCTGCTTTTCGTTAGTTTGTAATTGTTGCCATTCAGTTTTCATAGAGCCTTTCTCCAAAGTAGATTTCCTTAGCCATTTTCTGAAATATTTTCCCTTTCTGTAATCAGCCTTCCTTCATTGGTTTTTCATGAGCTGCTTTTCTAGGGGACTAGTGATAGCTTAACCAGACAAAATGAGGCTGATGCGTTCTGTCATTGTGATCAGCCTCAACCACAGAACTGAGGTTTTTCTGGTGATAGAGGGTCTCTTGTGTGCCTAGCACTGTATGGGCTTTAATCACCAGTGGGAAGTATAGATTTCATCCGTAGGAAAGCAGTTGTGTTAATTGCAATTACTTTTATTGGAGTTACTTGTTTTTTGAACTGTTTTCTCTTGGTTATGTTCTGTTTGGTATAGAAGACTCAGAAGGTGCTAGTGTGTTTCTTCATTTATCAGATGAAAGCATTCTTGAGCATGATTTTGGATAGTGCTTGGAGAATTGAAAAATTATGTGCAGTGGCTTAAGTGGACTTTCAGGTACTGGGTGATAGGAGCAGTTTGCCCAGAGATGAGAGCGTACTGTCTGGTGACTCCTTGTACCTGTGTGTATGTGGGACATCATACCTCAAGTCATTACTTACAGCTTCAGAGCACTTAATTAGAGTGAGGAGCCAGTTTAACTCATCTTAAGTACTCATATCCCTAAAATGTAAGTAATGTAAAAGAAGGATTTTCCTGTTACACAATATAAACATTAAAACCTTTTAGTGAGGCTAAGCAGGCTTTATCTGATTGCTGTATGCATGTATATCTACATATATAAACACACATACATGTGTGTGGAGTACCACTGAAACGGGTGTTAACAGACATCACTGGTGGCACTTTATCTACAGTTTACAGGCCTCACTTGCATGTGTACCCAGACTTGCACCACAGCTATGAAGAGGTGGAGAGGACTTAAACTCCAAGAGCGTCAGAACCCTGGGGTGATGTTTTGGAACACAGTTATTTGTGTTCCAAGATTTGTGGATTTGTCTAGATTTGTCTCCTGCAGAGGACACTTTAACGTCTTTCTTTTTGCTTCATTTGCTTAGAGGGGACCTTAAATAGACATGAGGAAGATGTAGCTTTGATGATCCCTTTTCTCTCTATCCGCTAATTCCAGAAATTTCCCTCCAGAAGTTCCAAACCTTTTTTTTCCCCCCACAAACGTTCTTTTTTTTTTTTTTTTTTTTTAAATTTATTTATTTATACAAGAACCCCGGGGTACAGGCCAGATGTGCGGGAGGGTGAGAGGATTCACCAGAGACAGAGCGGGGAACAGAACAGGGAGACTGACGAAATACATTACTGAGGGGAGCAGTGGGTGAGACAGGAGAGGTCTGCTGCGCCATGCACGGCTATCTCTGCTGCCAGTGGGGATCGAACCGGCACTGCAAAGGCTGCAAGAGCTCCATGGCGCTGCGCTCAACCACTTGCACCACCAGGGAGGCCCTAGAAGTTCCAAACTTTTTGAAAGCTACTGAGTGATTATCCCAGAAAATTCCATGTGAATCTCAATTGTGCAACATTGACATAACCCCATAGGTTTAATTAAATTAAGATAATAAAAAAATACTAGTTTATTTTGATTATCATATCACAATTCTCAATTGAGTTCACAAATTTTGTACGCAGAATTAATTATTAGTAAGAATTCCACTGAAGAGCCATCTGAAATTTTAATCCCCAAATCAAGAGCTTCCCGACTGGAGACTTTACTCTAAATCAGGGTTTCTCAGCCTCAAACTCTGTTAACATTTGAGCCAAGTAATTCTTTGTTGGGGGCCAGGGAGACTCTCTTTTTTATTATTGACTGCTCAGCAGCATCCCTGGCGTTTACATCACTAGCTGACAATACACACACCCATGTGTGATGGTCAGAAATGACCAGATATTACCACCTGTCTCTTGGGGACAGAATCACCACTGGTTGAGAACTGCTGACAACCCACCTGGGTGAAGTCCCCAGTAATCATAAGATCAGGATGATGGAGTAGACTGACCGGGGTCCGTGAGCACCAGCTAGTGCTGCAGCAGGGGCTCTCAGTGTGTGTTAGGCCCAGCAGGTCTAGGCTTAGTGGTCATGTTGGCTGCTTAGACCTGTGAATACTGTATGGACACCTCTAATCCCCAGTCTTATAAGCACCCTTAGGTCTCAGGTTTGCATTTTTCTTTTGCTCAGCTGCTACTTACACCTCAAGCAGGTGATATTCTGCTCTCTGTGTTGGCCTTAGGTGTTTCTCAGGCCTTTTTGTTTATTGTTCTGTTCCTGAACTATAGTGAAAATGTAGAAAACAATAATGTGTGGTTTGTTTTTTTTCCTTCCATTTCCCTGTTCCTTGGGGAAGGCATGATAGACAACAGTCAAAAACAATGACACAGAAGTGAAAGAAAGCAGTTGCTTAATAGGCATAAATGTTTTCTGTATCATTCATGGAGATGTATTCAGTTTTCTCGTACCTGTTTTTGCAGTTAGTATGGACTTGGATTTGCAAGTAGTTGTGGTACTGCCAGTGTCTTCCTGCCGTCATCACTAGTGTGGCATCATCACTAGCAGTGTTTGTTCTGTTTACTGATGGCGCCTTAAGTCTTGTACACCATGAGGAGAACATGTGTCAGATTTAAGCTGTATCTGTTGCTCAAGCACAAATTGTCTGGGATGATGTCGAGATGCAGTAATCTTCCTCAGTCCTGTCACCATAGAGGGCAGTGTTTTCCTGGAGACGCATAACAAAGTACCTCTCAACACCTTCTGTACCCCACCCACCCACCTTCCTCCCCTGGACTCACCTCTTCAGAGTGTGGCTATTTAAGCTGTCAGAATAGATTGCACTCCCAAATGATAACTTTTCCTGTGAGAGGTGAGGCTATTTATTTGTCACATGTATTTTTAGAGTGCACGTGTATTAATTGAATAACAAAAATAGTCACACAAAAATAAAAACATTCCCCTGCAGTGTCATAAAACAGTACCAGTTGGGGCTAGCATGTTCACTGATTGTGGAAATTTCAGTGAAGTGACAATTAGTCGTGTTTCTAGAGTTCAGTTTTGGGTGGATTTTTTTTTTTTTTTTTTTTAAAGAAACTTGATGTCATTGTTCTGATATGAACAAAATTGATTTTTTACTTATAAGTGGTCATAAAATCACAATGATAGGGTGGAACCATGATCTACTCTAGCTACCACTTATCGTGAGAAAAATAAGCTTTCCTAAGAAATTGTTCAAAGCATCACGGCTCATTGGTAACGAAACCAGGATAGAAGCCAGACCCCCTGAGTCCCAAGGTTGTTACTCTTTTTTTGCCACACCAACTGCCAAGTGAAAACAAATTTTCTCTGGAAACTCAACCTGGCCATGACTCTTTCCCCCACCCCAGCCCCTGCCTCCTCTTTTTTTTCCACACAGTCTCTCCTAACCTACCTGACCTTTGTTCTCTACAGAATTCTCCTTCTGAAGCACAGAATTTAGATGAAAATACAACTGAGGGATGGGAAAATCGGATAAGACTATGGACTGATCAGTATGAAGAAGCTTTCACTAACCAGTACAGTGCAGATGTCCAGAACGCCCTTGAACAGCATCTACACTCTAGCAAGGAATTTGTGGGCAAACCTGCTGTTTTAGACACTATTAATAAGACTGAGTTGGCCTGTAATAATACAGTTATTGGTTCCCAGATGCAGGTAAGGATCAAAGGGCTCGAACACTAAGTAGAGATTTTTGAGAAACCAGGAAGATGACATATATTGGGATGATTATTTCTTTCAAATGTATAAGGCCATAAAATAGCAAATTAGCCAGCTATTGGTTATCATGAACCAAAAGCTCATTATAGTAACTGGAAACTATCTGGTAACATATTTTTGAACAATCTTTATTAATTGAAAGTAGGTAAATTAGGATAGAAAATTATATACTGCTTCAGTAGGACTTATTAAGACTAATGGTTCTTGATCGTTCCTTGTTTTTACGTTAGATATAAGGCCACAACAATCTTAATCATATTCTTGTCTTTTTAGCAGGCAACAGTCTCTAGATGGAACTTATTTCCTAAAAATACTGAGCTTTTATCAAATTCAAAATTTCCTCCTTTTTTTGAATCTTAATTTGTTATTTATAATCAAAAATTTTCCGATCGTTGAGCTAAATAACATTTACAAAAAACCCCAAAAACATCCCTGCCTCCCCAAAGAGGAAATTTTTTGCCTACTAAGTTGCTGTTGGCTGACACTGACCTCTGGTTTTATTCAGCTGCAATTGGGAAGAGTCACTCGCGTTCAGAAGCACCGGAAGATCCTGAGGGCTGCGAGAGATTTGGCCTTGGACACTCTTATAATAGAATATCGAGGGAAAGTCATGTTACGACAGCAGTTTGAGGTCAATGGGCATTTCTTCAAAAAGTAAGACCATCATTTAGTAAGCAGTGGAGGAGGGTTGTGGGCTTGGCTGAGTAGCATGGCTGTAAAAATTGTCCTAATTGATACGGTGCTCTTGGGGGGAAAATTACACTTCATATAAGCTCAATGCCTGTCTGCTATTTGTAGAAAAGTGCAAATAAATCTACAAGTTGTTTAAATGTATAAAGTGGTGATGACTCCTTTCCAAGTTAAGCATTTGCTTGGTGCTTATTCTTTAATCAAAAGCAGACAAGCATGTGATGTTTTCTAAGTTTGTGTTTGCGAAGAGCTGCGCGTGCTTCCTGTTTGAAGTCATGATGGAATGGCCTTTATATTTGTGTGGAGAATTACAGAAATTTTACTTATGTCCCCAGACCATACCCCTTTGTGCTCTTCTACTCAAAATTCAATGGTGTGGAGATGTGTGTGGATGCACGTACTTTCGGTAATGATGCTCGGTTCATCAGAAGATCATGTACACCAAATGCAGAGGTAAGATTTCTGTAGCAACTTCTTTTTGACTGGAACCACCAAAGGACAAGTCTGCTGAAGAAGCAATCTGAAAACTACACCCAGATGAAGGTCTGTTGCTGATGGTTATGGTCTTTTGTTGTAAGAAACAGAAACTAAAAATAATGATTTGATTCTGACAGGATGGAGACAAGGAATGAATTTCCATTTGAAAAGGCAGAAATTGAGGGGGGGTAGCATTTGCTACAGAAAAAGAGCTTTTTCAGAAATGAATGAAGTTCTGTTAAAGAAGTCACCACGTGATAAAAGATGCCTTCATTGAACCCAAACCTAGTGGTTGCTGTTTTTTTTAGATTTTAGGTAATAGTCTTAATGAGACAGTTCTAAAGTTTGTCACTCAATGCAGCCACATCAAATTCGGCAAGAATATGTACATAGTCTTTCTTATAGGCTAAGGAATTTTAATTCACTGATGCAGCTGAACCAACTTTTAAGATGTAAAACAGTGGTCTTCTCCTGATTTCTGACATCTCAGAGTTTCTTCCCTTACTTCTAAGAGTATCACAAATCTTCACTTAATTACTATGTGATAGTTTCAGGTAAAATAGAGGAGGTAAATAACAGACTCCTGTAATGAAGTGGGGAGAAATTACTTGGGTGGAAGGTTCTGCCCTCTCAGAGAGAGTTCCTGATCTTTATAATAAACCAGTAACCTTCTTCACACAGGTGCGACACATGATTGCAGATGGGATGATTCACCTGTGTATCTATGCTGTGTCTGCCATCACTAAGGATGCCGAGGTCACCATAGCGTTTGATTATGAGTACAGTAACTGGTAAGACCTTGAAAAGCTGTCTTAAGATGAAAGGCATTGTCTTACATATTAAGCTGTCTTATTAAATCTGCTTTTATTCCTTCTCGTTTTCCTTTTTTTTTTTTTTTTTTCTTTTTGGTCTTTTTATGAGTAATACATTTCTGCTAGAAATTGCAGAGGGAAAAATGGTCTTAGGGCTTTTTTTTTTTTTTTTTTTTTTTTCCCCAGAGACCCAGGTATGTAGCATGAAACCGCTCACTGTCCTTACCAGGGGTGTTTGTAGCCTTGTCTCAGTAGCAAGAATACCAGAAAGTGTATACAACAGCTTCTGTTGTACTTAGTGTCAGGGACCATGTAGAATAAGAACTTCAAGGGCCTCCGTGGTGGCTAAGGGTAAGACGCAACCTGTGAAGCTATTCACAGCCACTGCAGCACGACTTCGATCCCTAGCCAGGGAGCTATCCACATGGTGCAGCAGACCTCTTCTGACTCGCCCCCTGCTCCCCTCAGCAGTGGATTTCAGTCATTCTGCGTGTTCTGTTCCCCGCTCTGTCTCTGGTGAATCCTCTGGCCCCCTCCTAAGCCGACCCCCCCCCCACACACACACACAGCCCTCTGGCCTGTACCCTAGTACTTGTATGCATAAATAAATAAATCTGTAAAAAAAAAAAAGAACTTCAAGATTGCCCCAGTCACTCAAACCATGTAATCTAACTGCGTATGAGAACATACATGCAGAAAATCAGAGGTGACAAGTCATACATATGCATAATGAGATTTGTAAAATACTTTTTTCTCCTTTAGCCCTTTTCAGAAAAAAAATTACATGGTAAATAGTTTCAGCATAGGTACAAGAAGTTATTAATAGTAGGAAAATTATTGTAAGTGGGAAATCTATAGTTAAAAGTGAGCATCTGCAAAAGGGGACGTGGCATGAGCACAGCCCTTCTGCTCTATCACTGACTCACTGCCCACAAAATCAGCTGGAAGAATTGCAGTTAGTGAGCACTTCCACTGACCACATGTAGGGGAAGAACTGGGATTATGTAAGAAACCAGGATGTTGGATGTATTCATAGGACTTTCTTATATGTCGCTTTTTAACCACTTCGAAAATGATAGCAAAGGAACTCATTAATGCGCAAAAGAACATAGAAACCATACATTTGATGTTCAAGGTACTGAGACAGGTACTTCTGATTATTTCTTTGGAGCAGTAATTACAAAGTGGACTGTGCGTGTCACAAGGGGAACCGGAATTGCCCTATACAAAAAAGGAATCCCAATGCTGCAGAACCACCTCTCCCTCCTCCTCCAAGTCTGCCCACCGTGGGAGCAGAGACCAGACGCAGAAAAGCACGACGGAAAGAGTTGGAGATGGAACAGCAGAGTGAGGCTGCAGAAGAGGATCACAGCCAGCAGCTGGAGCAAGTTCCTGAGAAAGTGACTGTATCCAGTGACAATGAGGTAATCTCCCCTGGCCAGAGAATGTTGCTATGGTATTAGCCTGCCCAAATCAAGAGGATCCCGGGTTGCCACGTGTTTCATGTAGGGAATCTATGCGAACACTTAATGCCCTTCACATCAAGGTGGGTACACATTCATTCATCTTCTTTCCCCACAATGTCAAAAAACATCTTCTCAGCTATTTTTCTGTGTTTTGGTTCAGAGAGATGGGGTTTATCATCTGTGTTCAGCATTTGACCCCACACAAGTAACACTACTAAAGCCTTAAAAATTGTTTCTAGAGTTTAAGCTATCAGAAAAAACATTGATTTTCCTAGAGCTTAAGAGTAGACTGTGTATTGCCTCTGTCTTGCAGGAAATAGACAATCCAGAGGAAAAAGCGGAAGAAGAGAAGGAAGAGGTCACAGATGACCAGGAGAACCCAGCCCATGGCCGGAGGGTAGGTACCTTCTCGCAGTCTTTATCTTCGGTGTCTGAGCCCTCTCCTCCTGAGTTTGTAGCATTTCATGTCTTCACACAATACTACCCCATCACCTATAGATTAAAATTTGGGCTTTTTCTATAAAGTAGATTTCTTTGTGTTATTTTCTCTTTCCACACAGATGCATAATAGTTGCCTAGTGACTTATCTGATAGTGACCCTGAAAGGTGTCTACTCACAATCTGGTTTCAGAAAAGCTGCTCAGTCAAAACATCATCTGTTAGGGCTACTTGCTCTGACTTAGGAATCTCTCCTAGGTTTTCTGTGAGCTTTGATACTTTAAAAAAATAACAAACTCAATGGTCTCACTCATAGCAGGAATCTAGAAAACTTAAGGGACCGGGAAGAAGAATAACTATAAGAAAGAAAATACCAAAATCAACAAACAGCTATGAACAAGAGACACTATGTGGGGGGTGAGGGGTGGGGAGGTGAGAGATTGGGGTCAAAATAAGGGGATTGCAATTGTATGGGGAATATAAAAATAAAATTTATTTTTAAAAAAATGAACAATGATTTAAATATATATAAATAAAAAATTTTAAAAAGAAAAAAAATAACAAACTCAGTTATATGGACTTAAAAATTCTGCTATTCTGGTGAAACAAGTCATGTTTATTTCTGTCCCTGAGAATAGCTTCAAGAAAATCTAGTTATTTTCGAACTCTGAAAACATAGAGAAAAATTGGCTTTATGTCTATTTACCTTTTATGTTAAAAAGTTTAAGATTTGACTGTGTCTTCCCTTACCATTCTTTTCAACATTTGAGATGAATTATTTTTTACTTTTTATCTTATTTTCTCCAAAACATGTGTCCTCTTGTAGTTTCTCTAAATGTCTGTAATTTCCACTAATAATGCTTCTGAAATGATGTCCCCTCCTGTTATACTAATGGTTGCTCTTTCTAGACTCGGGAAGACAGGAAGGTGGAAGCCATCATGCACGCTTTTGAAAATTTAGAGAAAAGAAAGAAGCGACGGGATCAGCCCTTGGAACAGAACAATTCTGAAGTAGAGATAACTTCCACCTCAGAGACTCCTGTGGGAGAGGAGACGAAATCTGAGGCCCCTGGCCCTGAAGCTAGCAACCCTGTTTCAGCCATTGCTGTCCCAAGTGCCCCCCAGAGTGTCGGAGTGAACACCCGGAGGTCTTCCCAGGCCGGGGTAAGAGGAAGACAGTCCAGGCCCAGATGCCCGCTTCTGTTCCTGGCAGTTACCTGTCTTTTGGAATGCTTAAAACAGGGACTTTCAGCTTTGCCTCATACTGTAATTAATACGACCTTTTGAACTAAAGATGAGTTGTGAGGCTCAGGGAGACAGAATCTGAATAACTAGACACTTCCACACTATAGTGGAACTTCTTTTTCTGCCAGATACATTTTGGCGAGTTCATAAAAATCATTTGATTTCTCTTCTGAGCCTTCTGTGTAACACCTGTGCACCAGCCTGTTCGTCGGGTTCATAGGGTAATTCATCTTTCCTTTCCCCACCCTAGCCATGAATTCTAAAGCTTAATCTGGGAAAGAAATAGAGAAAAATTATCTTCCCTAAATAACCCTAAAATGAGGTGGCTACTTTCAGTTGGCGTTTGACCTATTTCATTGGTACTTACTAGAAAAAGAAAAAACTAACCCATATCTACCTATAATCTCTTTAACTGGTTTTAGTGCATAAGTTTTTGTAAGGACTGCATTTGAAATGAGTGTTTATAAAAGCCCACGTTTCACCAGTAAGCGTTCAGATATGTAAAGTCGGTAGGACTCTGGGTGGAATGTTTGACAGTAAGAAATTTCTGGGTCAACATTTCACTCTGCTGTTGTTACAGGATGTCAGTGCAGAAAAACCTGTCCCAAAACCACCTTCAGCAAAGCCTTCTAGACCCCGACCGAAGAGTCGAATCTCTCGGTACCGGACCAGTTCTGCCCAAAGACTCAAGCGTCAGAAGCAGGCCAGTGCACAGCAGGCAGAGTTATCACAAGCTGCCTTGGAGGAGGGAGGAAACAACAGCTCAGTCACTCCTGTTGAAGCTGGAAATATAGACAGTTCAGGAGAAAACAGGCAGATAACAGGGTCTGACCCCGCTGTCGTCTCAGTTACTGGATCCCATGTCAACCGTGCTGCATCTAAATACCCCAAAACCAAAAAGGTAAGTCATAAATCCATCTCCACAATCCTACCCTGGCAAGGGCTATGTCTCAGTAAAGTGAGAGGACCTATAATCTCAGAAAAAATAAATCTTTTTATTAGCTTGAAAGTTCTAGGTGCCTTGATATAAAATGCCTTGATATGAAAGATTGGAGCCATCTTAACTACCTTTCTTTTCCCCCAATTCTGAGGCAGAGATTAAATTGCGATGGCTGGGGATTATTCCTCTTTCAGTGGGCTGGAGAGGGTGAGGGAAGATAGCCTTGCATTCTGAATGCCCGATTCATACTCTGCAGCTGCTCGGCTCCTTCTGTCCTAGTTTCTAGATGAGGTTTGTCTTTGAGCTGCGCTGCTGTTTTGACGTTTACATCTGCAGCATCAACGAATGATCTCTTTTCTATCTTAGTATCTAGTTACAGAATGGTTGAATGACAAAGCCGAGAAGCAAGAATGCCCTGTCGAGTGCCCTTTACGTATCACCACGGACCCAACTGTGCTGGCAACGACCCTGAACATGTTGCCTGGTCTTATCCATTCCCCATTAATTTGCACCACCCCCAAACACTACATCCGCTTCGGTTCACCCTTTATCCCTGAGAGGCGTAGAAGGCCCCTTCTGCCTGATGGCACATTCAGCTCCTGTAAAAAGGTAGGTTTGTATTTATGTGGCCGCTTTTTTGTTTTAACCTCATGCCTGTGAGCATGATGGAGCACACACTCTAGCCACTCTCTGCCCGTGGGAGTGCCCACTGCATGCTGACGCAGCAAGACGGTACTGCTGAGCTGGGGAGAACAGGGCAGTTTGGGTGCCCAGTTTGTGAGTGTTCACTGTAGTCTTTTCTGACAGCCTTTTTTTTTTAAGATTTATTTATGCATGCATGCATGCAAGAACAGGTACAGGCCATAGGTAAGAGGGGGTGAGAGGATTCACCAGAGCTAGAATGGGGAACAGAACAGGCAGATTGACTGAAATCCACTGCTGACAGGAGGAGCAAGCAAGACAAGAGAGGTCTGCTTGACCGTGTGGGTCAGTTCCCTGGCCGGCCAGGGATCAAACTCGTGCTGCAGTGGCTGCGGGTAACTTCAGAGTGCTGCAACTTAACCCCTTGCACCACTAGGGAGGCCCTTTTCTGACAGCCCTTGAGTTGCTGAGTGAGCATGCACAGCAGCCCACGACTGGGTTGGGGGGAGGTATGTGTGGTGTATGCTTTTGTGGTGCTGGCAAACAGGTCCATTTGTGATTATGATGTGAGATCAGTCCCTGGGTACTTCTTGAACATTGTAGCATAAGTAAAAAATGTGTTTCAGGGCCTCCCCGGTGGCACAGCGGTTGAAAGCTGGGTTGCGAAGCTGCCTGCAGCCTCTTCAGCGCTGGTTCCATCCCCGGCCGCCGGGCGAGGGTCCCACATAGCGCACAGACCTCTCCTGCCGTGTCTGTTCTGCTCCCCGCTCTGGTGAATTCTCTCACCCTCCCGCGTTTCTGACTGTACCCAGCGCTTGTATAAATAAATAAATCTTTTTTTTTAAATGTGTTTCAAATTAATTCACTTGCAATAATCACTTCAATGAGAATAGAGGGAAAAGTACTTTTGCAACTGGCATAGTTCCTGTTCCTTAATGAAATGACAGGTTGGACTGGGTATCTCCTAGTGAGTACAGAACCTTCTATAAATCTCTCAATCTCTCTCTTTCTGTCTAGTTATATACTGGTTTTGGATCTAGTGGCAGTAGTGTTGGATGGTTGTTTATTTTGGGAATGCTCTCAGAATTCCTGTAAGCCCTGTGTGTTTTCCAAAGGTGTCTCTTGCGAGTAGATGTTTCCCTCAAACCTATAAAGTCGTTTTGTGTTTCTTGAAGTACAGGACACCCTTTCGTTGGCCTTCCTTTGCGGTAGAGCCTGTTCCCTCGAACACCCTTTCTCTTATCCTCACATCTGGATTTATCCTCAGATCTGGATTCAGGCTGCCTTCCTCAGTGTGCCCCATCGCCCTCCTCCACTGGCATCACGTACATGAGGATGCTGCATTGTAGATTATTTGATGTGATGAAGTCTCCAACTCCAAGCATGGCTTCCCTGGCTCCTCCAAACTTAAAGCTTTTCTCTTTCCCCCAAAAGTAAAAAAGAGGGAGATGGGTCTGCGCAAAGGAAGGCACTGTCTCCCTAGTAGTGCGCACTGAAGAAAATCTTCGTATTGCACATCTTACCTGAATATTGAGTCACTCATTGGTTCATTTTGATGAAATTCCCAAATAAAAGAACTCTTTTTTTTTTTTTTTTTTTTTTTAAGATTTATCTATTTATGCATGCAAGAACTGGGGTACAGGCCAGAGGTGTGGGGGGTGAGGATTCACCAGAGACAGAGTGGGAAACAGAACAGGCAGATTGACCGAAGTACACTGCTGAGGGGAGCAGTGGAACAAGTCAGGAGAGGTCTGCTGCGCCATGTGGGTAGCTCCCTGGCTGGCCAGGAATCAAACTCATGCTGCAGAGGCTGCGGATAGCTTCATAGGTTGCATCTTAACCCTCGCGCCACCAGGGAGGCCCCCATCTTGGTTATTCTGATGGCAGGTTGCGATCTTTGTATTTGCATCTCGCTTTTCCAACTAGCAGTATCCTGTGAAAGCCAAAAACAGTATGTGGGAGGATGACTTCAAATCTGATAGCAGGGCCTCCCCAGTGGCGCAGCGGGTTGAACACAGCACTGTGAAGCTGTCTGCAGCCTCTGCAGCGCACGTTCAATTTCCGGCCGGCCAGGGAGATTCCCACATGGCGCGGCAAACCTTTTCTGTCGTGCCCGCTACTCCTCTCAGCAGTGCTTTCGGTCTACCTGCCTGTTCTGCTCCCCACTCTGTCTCTGGAGAATCCTCTCACCCTCCCACACCTCTGACCTATACCCCAGTTCTTGCATGCGTAAATAAATATTTTTTAAAAAAAAAAAACTGATAGCAAATCCATTTTTAGAGATCTTTTACCTGGTTCGTGGTTTAGTGCTTACATCTGCAGCTCACTTCCACCAGCTGGAGATCAGCATCTCATTTAATTCAGGGCTGTGTTACATTTTGCAAATGTGTGTGACCGTCCTCAGTCTTGTTTTACACGGGCTCTGCTTAGGAACGTGTCCAGCAATCTTGAGAAGGGTTCAGGCTGTGAAGGCTAAATGCATGTAGTACAATTCCCTTGCTTAATTTGGGTCTTTTAAAATTATTTTAGATCTGAATTGTTTTTTTAAAAACTAAGTCATATTTAATACTTGTTTTAATTAATATTGGCTAATATTAATATTTGTTAACATCAAGATTATGTTACAAGGCAGAAATATGGCAAAGTTACATTGGGCCTTATATCTGGAAATTGAACTTGGCTTTATCCTGGGTGAGGATGGAGAAGAGTTATTTTTAGATTGGTTAGAAAGGATTCATCTAGTACAGGACCCTGAGAATATTACCATGATTAAAACTGTAATAAATTTCTGAAAATCCCTCAGAGGGAGGGTCTAAGTTAAACAGATACATGAGGGAAGCCCCGTACACGGGGTGAGCTAGACACTGTGCATTCCTGGTTGGCCTACTTGTTTCATTTCCAGTTAGAAGGGGTGGTGGGTAAAGGCCTCATAAGTTAAAAACAGTGTACAATAATGTGTTTGTTGGCACCCGGATTCTTTTTTTTTCTTTTTCTTTTTTTTAAGATTTATTTAATTATTTATACAAGCACTGGGTACAGTCAGAAGCACGGGAGGGTGAGAGAATTCACCAGAGCCAGAGAGGAGAGCAGAACAGGCAGACTGATGAAGAAATACACTGCTGAGGGGAGCAGCGGGCGGCAGGAGAGGTCTGCGCGCCATGTGGGACCCTTACCTGGCAGCCGGGGACTGAACCGGCTCTGCAGAGCGCCGGCTTCGCAGCCCAGCGCTCAACCGCTGCGCCACCGGGGAGGCCCGTCACCCGGATTCTTAAGGAGTATTTGAGAAAGCATTTTATGTTGTCCCCGATGTTTCAAAATTAAGTGGAATCATAACTTCTTACAAAGAATGTTGTTTCATAGCTTTTGTTGGATCTGTCACTTTGTATCTTAGAGTGGAAGCATCTGTAAGTGATGAGCACCCCTTCCAGTAGTTCTGTCTCATGATTGACGTGGCAGCCATCATGGGTGTTGTGTGATGTGGTGAAGTCTTCACCTACCTCCAGGCAGGGCTTCTCTGGCACTTTGAGACTTACAGCTTTTCTTTCCCCCAAGGGCAAAAATTACTTTTTTGGAGGGAGGGAGTGAGTCTCCCGTATTTCTTGGGAAACCATTCTGACTGAAAAGGAAACATTGCTTTGCACTGCTGTTTTTTGTGTACGCTGGTGGGCTATTCGTCTTTGTTTCTCTCCACAACACTGAAGCTTATTTGAACAAGTTCTCAGTAAATATTTGCTCCAGCCACTGTGCTACCAGCTTTCTTGACATACATCATCTCACTTGGCCTTCTTGATAGCCCTGTGAAGCTGGTGTTGCTGGCCTTGATGTACAGACCTGGGTGCTTTTGCTTGAGAAGGGTTCAGTGACTTACCCAGGCAGCATGGCCAGATCGCTGAACTCCAAAACTCAGTTACTTCCTTGCTGTTTCTGCATAGTATTAAGACACATTAAAATATTTCTCTTGCCCCTCTCAGATCTTGCTTAAAAAAAAAAAAAAAAAGTTTTCAGTACAGTATCCAAAATGGGAGAAATATTATTGTTAGAATGTAGATATATAGTTAGTTCTTATATAGATAGAACTGGGGGGCAGGGAGAAGGGTGAAATAGAAAATTTATTATCCAGGGCCTCCCCGGCGGCGCAGCGGTTTTGAGCGCTGGGTTGCGAAGCTGCCCACAGCCTCTGTAGCGCCAGTTCGATCCCCGGCTGTTCCCCGGCCACCGGAGGAGGGTCCCGCATGGCGCGCGGACCTCTCCTGCCACCCGCTGCTCCCCTCAGCAGTGTCCTTCGGTCCTTCTGCCTGCTCTGCTCCCCACTCTGGCTCTGGTGAATTCTCTCACCCTCCCACGCTTCTCTCTGTACCCAGTGCTTATATAAGTAAGTAAATAAATAAACAAAAAAAAAGAGTTCTCCTTTAAAAAAAGAAAAAGAAAATTTATTATCCAGAGGGTGATTGGGACTTGTTAGATACAAACAAATGTTCCTGCTCCTTTTTTTATGAGCCCTAAAATAACTGTGGGCTCAGGATGAACGGGTTTGGTCATGTGTGCTGGATCTTAACCACAGTAGTATCTTAGTCCTTAAAATGTCCCTGTCCTAGTTTTATTTCCCTTTTCTGTAGTCATCAGATCTAGAATATAAATTATTTTGTGGGTGCAGCTATTTGGCACTGGGAATATAAGAAATTAACTTCTCAGAAGCAAAGAAGTGGCCCCAAATGAATTCTGTCACCTTTTCTGAAAAGAAATCTTAACACTAACAGGTGTCTGTAATGAAGGACTTTTCACTCATTTTGTCCCCCTTGGCCTAATTTCCCCATCTCTACAAAAAGTGCTTTGGACAAGGTAACCTCTGACATCTCTTCTAAGTCGTAAGGCGTCATGGCGCTGACAACCCATCTTCACATCAGTACTCTGTGAGAGAGTTCACCCTTCATCTCAGTTTTGCTTTTCAGAGACTTCGTCATACCCAGAATGTTGATTTGACTCAGATTGACCATTGTCTCACCTAGATTTTCTTGGTGAAATCTTCCTCACATTATTTCCTAAGAAATAGTTATTTCTGGGGCCTCCCCGGTGGTGCAGCGGTTGAGCGCTGGGTTGCAAAGCTGCCCGCAGCCTCTGCAGCGCCCGTTCGATCCCCGGCTGCTCCCCGGCCACCGGAAGAGGGTCCCACATGGCGCGTAGACCTCTCCTGCCGCCCGCTGCTCCCCTCAGCAGTGTACTTCATCAGTCTGCCTGCTCTGCTCCCTGCTCTGGCTCTGGTAAATTCTCTCACCCTCCCGTGCTTCTGACTGTACCCAGTGCTTGTATAAATAAATAAATAAAAATAAATCTTTTTAAGAAAAAAAAGAAATAGTTATTTCTGGGCCTCCCCTGTGGCACAGCCGGTTGAGCACTGTGCTGTGAAGCTCTCCGCAGCCTCTGCAGCATGAGTTCAATCCCTGTCTGGCCAGCAAGATACATGGGACAGTAGACCTCTCCTATCTCGCCCGCTGCTCCTCTCAGCAGTGTTTTCGGTCCATCTGCCTGTTTTGCTCCCTGCTCTGTCTCTGGGGAATCCTCTCACCCTCCTGTGCCTCTGTCCATGTACCCCGGTTCTTATATAAATAAATAAATCATTAAAAAAATAGTTATTTCTTAGGAAATTATTTCCTGTATTTCTAAGAGGGTAAACCTGCTTGAATTGCTCTCTTTGGTGAAGAAAATACTTATTTAACCTGTAATACTTGTTGTCTAAAGCTATAAACTTACAATCACTTTTGCTCTTCCTATTTGGGGAGGGTGTGACTCAGAAATTGATGTTTCGGGCCTCCCTGGTGGTGCAGGCAGTTGAGCACAGCACTGTGAAGCTGTCTGCATCCGCTGTAGTGCTGATTCGATCCCCACTGGCTGCGGAGATGCCCACTGGCGGAGCGGACTTCTGCTGTCTAGCCTGCTGCTCCCCTCAGCAAGTGTGTTTTGGTCAGCATGCCTGTTCTGTCTCGGGTGAATCCTTTCACCCTCCCACACATCTGGGCTGTACCCCAGTTCTTGTATGAAAATAAAATAAATCTTAAAAAAAATATGAAATTGATGTTCAAGTTCAAATTCAAAATTTTATATGTCTTACGTCAAGGCTGGAGCCACAAAGTAGTAAGCAACCTACAGCTGTGTGTCTTGAGAGAACTCCATCCATCATAGGTGAGAAATGTTCTCTTCTACAGGACACAAACTCTTATTATTACCTGAGTCTATGGAGTCTTACTTTCTGACCTACATTTATTTCTCACCATATTAGCTTCCCATATTCTGTATAAAATAAAATGTGACTGACTAAAGAGCTCTTTGATTTCTACAAATCATTTATTTTGGTAACTTGCATTCTTCCCACATACTGCAGACACACTCTGTGATAGGAGGAGAGAGAGAATGCACTGGATGGTTCACCTGCGTGTAGACCTTTAGTTTAGGAAGGGTCTGCGTGCCTGTAGTGAAGCGCTGTATGTTCTCCCCTGTCATCGTCATGTGAATCTTTTCTGTTACCTCTCACATGTCGCCAGCACAGGGCAGATGGCTCTTAAGAAGTTTTTTATCTTGATGCTAGCCACTTGTTTTATGCACTAGTCCTATCCTGTGTGATAGGATAGGACAAATAACTAAGGACAAATACTAGGACAAATACTAAGTCTTTCAAATACTAAGATGTCTTCCTTACTACTTCTCATCTACCGCATTCTAAGCAGCATGTGAAGTTGAATAGTAATCGTTACTTGTTGCTTTAGGTTTTTTGATGGGATACCATGGTGTGTAATTCAGATTTTCACAATTTTGCCCAGTAGAAGGAATTGACAGCCTAATCATCTAATATGCTGAAGCACAAAAAAATAAAAATTGCCTGACTGTGGGACTGAATGAGTGTGTTGGACTGCCTCTCGTCAGTTGATGTGTTGTGACCTGACTGATAGATTTTATTTATTTATTTTTAAGATTCATTTATTTATACAAGAACTGGGGTGCAGGCCAGATGCGGGAGGGTGAGAGGATTCGCCAGAGACAGAGCAGGCAGACTGACGAAATACACTGCTGAGGGGAGCAGCGGGCGCAACAGGAGAGGTCTGCCGCGCCGGCCGGGATGGAACCAGCACTTGCAGAGGCTGCAGACAGCTTCACAGCCCTGCGCTCAACCACCTGCGCCACCAGGGGAGGCCCCTGATAGATTTTAAAGAGCTGTACTAATTGTACTAAGTAGTTTTAAATGTTATCTAACAATTTCCTGGATCTTTTCACATTATAGCGCTGGATAAAGCAAGCCTTGGAAGAAGGTATGACTCAAACATCTTCCGTACCCCAAGAGACTAGAACTCAGCAACTATACCAAAGCAATGAGAATAGCAGCTCTTCTAGTATCTGCAAAGACAATGCAGGTATGTATCTCACATCTTCCGGAATATGTGAGCAATGATTATTCCTGGTCCACGTACATTTCAGTATGAATACTTTAAAAGTCTGATACAAAAAGAAATAGCTTTGTTCTCTAAATAGTTACTTTACATCTGTCTTTACAGAGGAAGAGAGAGATCTCAAGTCAGGGATCAGTTTTCCCAGGACGACAAAGAGCGAACTAGACAGTATACAGATAACAGCAGAAATGGTTATGAAAAGGTTAGACACATTTTAAGTAGTAAGTTTAGGAACTCTATATTCATATATATAAGAGGGAAAATAAGAAAGACATGGGACATTAGTGTTCAGGAAGGAATCAAAATTATAGGTGATTGGGTTGGGTGGGGTCTAGTTGATGGGGTAGGAGATGATGATGTAAACCAGATATTATTATGAATTGGTTGTTGTTTTCAAAAGGACTTGCTTGCACATTCACGTAGAAATTTTCTAGAAGACAGGACCTTGACTCTATAATTTAAAGTCCTCATGAGTATTAAACTGGAGGTTCAAAAAAATCATCTAGTACATTTGTTTTCATGGTGACTTTCACAAGGATTTTAATTGAATTGCAGTTGAAAGCAGTGGTGCTTGAATTTGTGTCACCAGCTTAACTTGTTTGGGGACGGTCTCTTTTACCCAAGTTTCACCTGACAATATCAGCTTAATTGTAAAAATTCTGGTTTTCATTAATCTCAAAATCAATTTTGACTATTATGCAATCAAACCAAAATACCAAAATAAATTACATGCCAAAAGTCTTGTAAGCTACTGTGGACATGACAATTAGTAATATCTGCTTATGATTAAAGTTCTGTACAATATTGTATTGGGGGAGAGGCTACTGAAAAATTTCCTTTTCTTTCAAGTTACTGCTCCATTTATTCCTCTATCTCTAAATTGGACTGTATCTTAGAAGGATTCTAACCCCAAGATAATAAAATTCCATTGTGGAACATCTGGCAGATAAACTATTCCATGTGCTTAAAATATTTCACTTTCCTCAAAGAATAGGGAGATTTACTCAAACCAATTTAATATAACGAAATCTGTATTAGATTTCCAATTGATGAGTCATCACTTGAGACTATAACCTAACTGGAACCTTCTATCACACAGTCACACATATGTGCGCTTATGTTCATGTATGATTTGTGTGTGTATTTGAGATCAAGAGAAGAAGGTTGTAGAGCAGTTTATGTCCTGACTAGCAGAGGCTCTGGGAAAGTGCCTTTGTTACTACACGCCCTGATTGGAATGGAATTAGGATTGTTAGTCACCACCCATTCTTGAGAGCTTATTGAGCCTCTGCTCTCCTCTCTCACGACCACTACCCTCTCCAGCAGTGAGAAGCCTTCAGAGTACACACCTTGTTCTCAAGGAACAACTTAAACAGGAGGAAACCAAGCAGTAGTTGCATAAGCAACTGGGTGTATTGCTATAAGTTAGTGTAAATTCTGATGAATTATTGAAAAAGGAGATGTTAATCAAGAAAGGGGGAGAGAGCCAGAGCAGCATGATAGAATGAAGAGACCAGCTGTGTGATGTCTGTCTTTACCATCTCTGTGAGTCGGGGCAGGTTACTAAACACCTCTGAGCGTTCACTGTACAATGAGAAGAGTAACAGCTGCTTTATGTTGCGAATGAAGGTTAAATTATATATATAAAGTACATGGTGCCTGCCCAGACTATCAGACCTCTAATGCAGTTATTAGTGTCATTCTATGCTGAGTGCTTTTTTATAGACCATTTCTGGAGTATTTACAGAAGTTAGATACTGGGATACATTAAAAATTCTAAGTTTCTAAAAGCTGAAGTTGTATAGAAATGTATTACTAGTTTAGGTAGGGGAGAGATGTCAAGTCATGCTCATTATTTAAAAATAATGTGGCTATATCCCCAGAGGCCCTGAATAATTGACTGAAAACTTAATAATTGTTCACTAGCATTACTGGGTACAAGTTACATGTATAGAAATTAATATACTAAAAAGTTAATATTTATATACTAAAAAAATGAATGAAGGAAGTTTTCATTCTTAAACTTAAAGCTGAGAGACTCCTTAGGAATAGCCTTAGTGGAGCAAGCCATTACTGAGAAATGTTAGTGCTGAGGAAGTAAAGGCAAAATACCATATTTAATGTAAAGAATAAATACAATCTTCCTCTTTCCCTCCCTCCTTGTCATAGAGTTCCCATCAAACTAGTTTGTTTTAGGAATTTGATTAAATATTCTTGAAATTCACCTTTTTTTTTTTTAAAGATTTATTTATTTTATGCATACAAGAACTGGGATACATACAGGCCAGAGGTGTGGGGGTTGAGAGGATTCACCAGAGACAAAGTGGGGAACAGTATGGGCGGACTGACTGAAATATACTACTGAGGGGAGCAGTGGGAGTCAGGAGAGTCTGCTGTGCCATGTGGGTATCTCCCTGGCTGGGGATCAAACTCATGCTGCAGTGGCTACGGATAGCTTCATAGGTTGTGTAGTAACCCCTTGCACCACCAGAGAGGCCCCTCACCTTTTTTTTAAAAAAATGATTTGCAAAAGAGTTAAAAGTGAAGATATACTTGCCTAGCTCCTAAAAAGAAGTTAGAAGCAAGAAATTGAGTTAGTATGGTGCTGGTGGAAGTGGATGCATATGTGATCATGCACAGAACAAAATATATAAACTACACACCTAATATAAATGAAAGATTTGTAAATTGTACTGGAATTTTTACTTAGTTGAGTGATTGAAAATAATTTGGTCCTCACCAAAGCAAATTCTCTAGGAACAATCAAATAGATACCTTTTTTTTTTTTAAGATTTATTTATTTATGCATGCAAGAACCAGGGTATAGGCCAGAGTTGTGGGGGTGAGAGGATTCCCCAGAGACAGAGGGGGGAACAGAACAGGCAGACTGACTGAAATACACTGCTGAGGGGAGCAGTGGGAGAGTCAGGAGAGGTCTGCCTCGCTATGTGGGTTGCTCCCTGGCCAGCCGGGGATCGAACTCATGCTGCAGAGGCTATGGATTGCTTCACAGTGCGGTGCTTAACCCCTTGTGCCACCAGGGAGGCCCCAAATAGATACATTTTAAAGGAAACCAAGCAGTGTTTCTGTGTCTGTTGTCTCTGAGGTAGGAGAGGATAAACTCTGGGGGACAGGATCAGCCTTGAAAATGACAATGTTTCCCCATTAGTGGTCTAGTGAGAGTCATCGGTATTAAAAATACTCATATTTCTTAATCTATGAATTATTCTTCTAGATACAGAAGGTGTGGACCAATATTTAAATAGTCAAAGTATTATTTATAGAATTATTATAAATATTCATAGAATATACAGGATTTTTAAAAAAAAATTTAAACCCATAAAGGAATGGTAGAATTTGTAGTTTATCTGCTATGTGCACATATTTTTGGTGAACTATTACATAGTATCACTAAAAAATTTAGTCTTGACTTAATCAAAATATCTTAAACTCATCCCCCAATAAATAGCATAGTACAGCTTTTGAGTTAGATTTTCAACATTCTGAATCTTGACTCTATAAGAATATTGAAAGAATGGTATATTGTGACCAAATAAAATATCTCCTGGAAATGTAAGGGTGGTTCAGTATTTGTGACTTAAGGACCCAATGGGGGGTGAGGGGGACCATGGCAGGTGGCACACACCATGAATGTGCATATGCTGTGCAGAGATAGGCTTCCCTACCTGCCTGATAGGTTACCAGTTATCATGCTTCCTGATGGGATCTGTCTAGATTAAACTTTATGATGGGTTATCAGACTTATTCTGTCACCATTTTTATTTAACAGTGTGTAATTGTTAACCAAAGTGATTACAGAAAGAAAATTTTTGAGATGAAAGTGTCACTGGTGAGAGGGGCTTGTGTCATTGTATACAGGGACTTAACCTACCTGGAAAGGCCAAGAGAAGGGGCAGAAAAGGGGGTAGAGATCAGCAGGGTAGAGAGCTGGAAAATTCGTGAATGTTATTTTCTTACAAGTCAGCAGTAGCCTTAGATTACATAAAGGGGGAGATATGTTCAGCTCACAGTAATAACCCAATAAACACTCCTCGAGCACACCTATTAAGAAATGGGGTAAGGGGCCTCCCCGGTGGCGCAGCGGTTGAGCGCTGGGTTGCGAAGCTGCCCGCAGCCTCCGCAGTGCTGGTTCGATCCCTGGCTGCTCCCCGGCCACCGGAGGCGGGTCCCACATGGCGCGCAGACCTCTCCTGCCGCCCGCTGCTCCCCTCAGCAGTGTACTTCGGTCTTTCTGCCTGCTCTGCTCCCCGCTCTGGCTCTGGTGAATTCTCTCACCCTCCCATGCTTCTGACTGTACCCAGTGCATGTATAAACAAAACAAACAAACAAATAAATAAATAAAAACATGCCAAAAAAAAAGGAAGAAATGGGGTAAGTCTTTGTGTCTTTGTAAAGAGGATTACAAATGAAGGCACAGTAGGTGATCTTGCTCTGGTACTCCCCACGTTACTTAAGAATTTATCACAACCGGGCCTCCCCTGTGGCGCAGCAGTTGAGCGCTGGGCTGCGAAGCTGCCCACAGACTCTGCAATGCCGGTTCGATCCCCGGCCACTGGCAAGGGTCCCACATGGCGCGCAGACCTCTCCTGCCGCGCCCACTGCTCACCTCAGCAGTGTATTTCGTCAGTCTGCCTGCTCTGCTCCCCGCTCTGGCTCTGGTGAATTCTCTCACCCTCCCGCACTTCTGACTGTACCCAGTGCTTGTATGTATGTATGTATGTATGTATAAATAAATAAATAATCACAACCCTAATAAAAGTTCAGACTGATTTTGACATTTTGTTTTGTTGGCGGTGCCAGCGCTGTTGATGTTGCACAGTTTGTCCACATGAGCTGGTGTGCTCCGGGAGCCTCAGTGTTATAGAGGGAGCAGAATAACCAGAACTGCCCACAGCTTTGCTCAAGTGCGCATCGGTACTGATGCTATGTTGGACAGCAAGTGGGCGCTTGTAACCAAACGCAGTGTGTGCAGGAGTCTCATAGAACAAGTGTCGCTGCAAGTCAGCAGAGAAATTATAGTTCTCTAATTTCTAAAGATTTTGGAAGAAGGTGCTCATTGTTTGGCATAGGAAAAGGATTGTTTGTATCTTGTAGCTCTATTTTAGTTAAAAGGTAAACTAAAAAGGGCCTCCCCAGTGGCGCAGCGGTTGAGCGCTGGGTTGTGAAGCTGCCCGCGGCCTCTGCGGCGCCAGTTCGATCCCCGGCTGCTCCCCGGCCACCGGAGGCGGGTCCCACATGGCGCGCAGACCTCTCCTGCCGCCCGCTGCTCCCCTCAGCAGTGTACTTCGGTCCTTCTGCCTGCTCTGCTCCCCGCTCTGGCTCTGGTGAATCCTCTCACCCTCCCGCGCCTCTGACTGTTCCCAGTGCTTGTATAAACAAAACAAACAAATAAATAAAACATGCCTCTATTTTAAAAAAAAAAAAAAAAAAGGTAAACTAAAAAATTAAATGTGGAAGCAAATGGAAAATAGACTGTCATTCTTATAGACTATCATTCCATCATTTCTTATAGAAAATTCATGATGTCAGAGAAAGAAAATTAAGGAAATAATTGGTACATTTGACTAAAGAACATTGTACAGCAAAAAAAAAAAGTCTTAGAAGTCAGATAACAAACTGGGAAAATGTAATTGTAATACTTTGACAGAGTCAGCATTTTTATTGTTTAAAAGAACCCTTACAAATAAAGGCACTCTTTTGACAACTGAGTAGAAAGCAGACAATACACAGGAGTAAATATCAAGCTAGCGAGTCTGTGGAAACTTTCAGTTAAACTTTCATTTTTAACTTCAGATTAAACTTTCAGTTTAATCCTACCACTAGCATTTGTCCTAAAATAGTAAAGCAGAAATATGAAGCACAAGATTTTTGGTCACTTACACATTTCCCAAAAAATTGAAAATATTAAATGGTTAAATTTTGATAGTATGAATTCTATACTGCTGTTAGGTGAATTTTAGCTCTCTATTCATTGTCATGGAGAGAGATCTTTACTGTGTTTTTCTGAGTGAAAATAAGAGGTCATTGCACAGGATTATTTTTAGACAAGAGTTGTTTATGCCACCTCTCAAGAGAGATCTAGGTGAACACACGCCAGCATATTCAATGTGAGTTTGAGTTGAGTGTGTTTAGATATGTGGGTATTTGTTTATGTAATCTTACTTGAGTAAAGGTAAAAAACCATTAAAAAATGGTTAGATTTAACCACATTCAGTTTGAAATCTCTGCCAGGCAAAAAGAAAATGAATTAATTATTGAATTATTTTTTTGTAAACATAGTGCTATTATTTGAAAAAAGAAGTAAATGACACTGACCCATAAACTTCCTTCAGGTCTCTTGTTGAAAATGAAATCCTGTTGAAAATGAGAAATGTACTCAGTAAATATATCTTAAATGAATGACCTGTATTTTGGGTATTCGCTCTTTCCTAACATTTTCCTCAGTGGAAATCATTGGCCTAATAGTGTTAGACCTAACAGTATTGGCGTCTTTTAAAAGATTGTCTGTTTAGGACTCTTGAAGTATATTAGGTGTTCTAAGTACAAGTCCTGAATTACACTTTTGTCTTTTATATCTAGGCACTGTTTAAAAGGAGAAAAGGACAATAAGAAAATTTAGTATCTGGAACAAAGGAAAATGCGAGTGTACTTCCAAACTAGGAAATTTTTACATTCTTAGTTATCAGAAAACAATATAAGCATCTCCAGTATTTTTTGTATTTATTTTTCCGTTTCCATTTCATCATCTACCATCCTAGTTTAGTGCCTCATTACCCTTTATATTAACTACTCCCTTAACTTCAGAGTATTTCCCTGTGTCCAATCTGATCCTAACCACTGCTGCCAGGTTCATCTTCTGGAAGCACAGTAATCCAATCGTGACCTGCTGTCCCAAAAAACTGTTCCTCAAAGACTTGGGATAAATGTCACTCTTTCCAGCAAGTTTTGGAGGCGATACAATTTATCCTAGTGGTTGTGAATATAGATGGGGAAATGGATTACCTAGTCTTTATCTCTGCACATAAATTTCTCATCTTTAAAATAGGGGTGATGATGATACTTGTGCTGGGTTTATAGAGTTGTTGAAATTAAATCTGATCATTCACATAAAGAGGGTGGCATAGTAACCAGTCCATAAGTGTCTTAAAAGTGTCCCTTTTTTTTTTTTTTTTTTTTATTTTATTTGTTTGTTTATTTTGTTTATACAAGCACTGGGTACAGTCGGAAGCGCGGGAGGGTGAGAGAATTCACCAGAGCCAGAGCGGGGAGCAGAGCAGGCAGAAGGACCGAAGGACACTGCTGAGGGGAGCAGCGGGCGGCAGGAGAGGTCTGCGCGCCATGTGGGACCCTCCTCCGGTGGCCGGGGAGCAGCCGGGGATCGAACCGGCGCCGCAGAGGCTGCGGGCAGCTTCGCAACCCAGCGCTCAACCGCTGCGCCACGGGGGAGGCCCAAAAGTGTCCCTTTTTTACTAACACATAGCAGTATTACCACCTCTGTTGAAGTTCTTAAACTTAGGTTAACCGTTTTTATGTTAAAATGATGTTTTCTTTTTGTTAGTTTTTACTGTCAACCCCTTTAAGTAGAATGTAATGAGATTTTTCCCCACATACCTAATTTGGTAGTTTTTCATATGGCAGATATTAAATGAATAGGTATCTTTTGGCTGTAAGTACATTTTCCTCTAAGATCAGTGCTTTGGTCTGGATGATCACTAAAATAGAGTAGAAAACTGCTTATTAGATGGACCTAAGAAGTATAGAAATTAGGGTTATTCCAATGAGGCAAAGAGGACCAGCTTAGTTTTTTTAAATGGTTGTGAAAAGTTTTTATTGAAATCATTTCACGATTTGAAGTACTTTAAAACCAGAGCCCGACACGAGTCAGTAATCATGTGTCACTCTTTCCTGCTAAAGTAGAACCTGTGGAATGAGCAGCTGGAAATGGCAGAAATACACAAGGGAAAAAGAAGCATATGGAGTTAGTATTCCAGAAGCTTGAACTAGTAATTTCATAGACGGTGATTTTAACGAAGTGACACAGATTTGAGATTTTCAGAAACAGAATATAGAAAAAAGTCTGTTTTTCCACTGAAGAGATTAAATTGCATCCGTCATTAGATTTATCTGATGCTTCTCTGGGAACATTGCGGGGTCGGGGTGGGGGGCGCCAGGGGGAGGTGGCAGTTGAAGAGTTTCTTTGGGCTTTTGGTTTGATTGCAGGCGAGGATAATGGGGTGAGGCAAAGAGGGTCAAGCCTTTGTAGGCTGGAGATGAGTGACTTCACTGCAGAGCCTCCCTTTAAGCTGTACTTTCAGCCACTCATCCAGGCTTTGTATTGCAGACTTACTGAGCCCGTTAAAGAAATGGAAGTCTCGCTACCTGATGGAGCAGAATGTCGCCAAGCTACTGCGTCCTCTTTCTCCAGTCACACCACCCCCTCCGAATCCAGACTCCAAGAGCCCCCAGCTGAGCACACCCGGCCCGTCTCACCCGGGTGAAGAGGAGTGTCGGAACGGATACAGCCTCATGTTCTCGCCAGTTGCGTCGCTTACTACTGCTAGTCGCTGCAATACTCCGCTGCAGTTCGAGGTGATTTGAGTTCGGTGTTGGGGAGAGCTGGAAATGAGAGTATCATTTACACCTCCTCGTTTCAAACACAGTAGCGTTCCCAATGTGCAGTTACCGTGCTGCCTCCTGTCTCAGCAAGAGAATGGGAACCCTCAGGGCCAGTGTGACCTGTTCCGGCCTGGTAGCCTCTCATGGTGGCTGATCCCATACTTCCCAAGCACATAGTAGGGCCATTGTGCCACAGATGTCTTTGCATGCAGGCCGCAGTCACCATGACTTCAGGCAGTGAGCGTGCTAGGTCTCCTGTCTTTATCTATACTGTGCACTTTGGTTTAATAGACCTCTAGCGCCTGCTAGCCATTAGCAACGCCAGCCTGAGTGTAGATTATCCTGATTGGTTGTGTCTCTGTTTCTTGGCCTCTAAGTCAGTGAAGTGTTTTTCCCCTGTTGTTTTTGTATTCTTGTTGTGGCCTCTGACCAGGGATTTAGAAGGCATGGGGATGTAGTTCATGGGACAGATGAGAGTTGTTTTTAAATCTGCTGCAGGTTACTTTCTCACTGTTATAATGTGGAATGAGTAGTAGAGAGACTAGAGCCTACATTTATGAGAGCCAACTCAGTTACATTTACTCTCTGAAGTAAGTTAGATGTGTTTATCTCAGCTGTTTCAAAAAGCAATTCTAAATCCCTTTAGCGTTCAAGTTTGGGTGACAATAGGGCCTGTTACCAGATAGAATTAAAAAGCTCATCTATTGCATGTTGCTTTGATTTGTAATTAAACAAACATCATCTTTTCCTTCTTTAAGGAAAAATGTCTTCTGATCATTAAGTACACACCTAGCTTGCACTTCTCCAGGCGTGTGCTCTGATCAAGGGACTGTCTAACCAGTGCCGACGTGCCTGTTCAGCTTCTGTGAGAGTGTGGGGGATTGCTAGTACCTGGACTGAAAAACAGTAGCTAGAGTCTGTCCCTGCTCTAAACATAGTAACTGACTTGCAGAACAGACCTTTTTGGGAGCAGGGAGAATTCCTGGTTACCACAGTCCCATGGTGTTCTTTTTAAGCAGATGGTAAAGCAACTGATTTGGGCCTTATTAACTTAACTGGTTCTAATTGCAGTTGGCTTTTCAATTAGCAACTAGAGTTTGAGGATAAAATTTCATGAGAGAACATTCTCCTTGGAGGACAGTAGACTGTAGGAATAGGGTTCCATACTTTATAAATAAACATGAAATTATGGAAATTGGAAGGTAAGTGACCTTCCAAAGCACCCAAATTTAGCCTCAACGCATTCCCTGTTTCTTGCAGCACATCACTCACAATGCAAGATAGTCTCATTCTCATTTAAAAAAAAAAAAGTCAGGCATCCTGTTAGTGAGGAATAGTCCAGGTTAGAATACCAGGGGAGAGAGACAAGGCTGCAGTGCATAGCCATGCCCTTCAGAAAGTCCAGTCACATCTCTACTAGCTGACGCCCACGACTTAACTAAGGCAGTGGGGTCTTTGCACCAGTGCATCAGAGCTCACCACCCTGCCAGCCGTGCTTTGCCCTGTGTCTCAGGATAGGGACGAGGGAGCCTTTTTCCACCCAGGGTTGTTGTGACACAAACAACAAAAAGGTGTCACAAGTGAAGGTTGGCTTTGTTAGGAAGAATATTTTGAAAAGGAAAGATGAAAACCTTTCCAGGGTAAGTGTGAGCAACCTCTCCAGTGCTGAGGGGAGACATTGAGGAGACATGTAGTGCAAGAGAATGAGACCAAGAGAGGGCAGTGCTGGGAGGACGGGCTTGCTTAGCCCTCCTCTCCACGCAGCCACCCTGCCCTTCTCCCTGGAAGCCATCCCTGCCATCCTCTCTCGAACGCCCCGCTCCACCACACAGAGCCAACGGGCAATGCCCAGCTGTGCCCTGACCCCCTGGTCCAGGGTTTCCAGTAACACTGGGAACCCCCTCCTTATCTTACTCCTGCACCCTGAACCTTTCTCACAGCTGCCACCATCATTCTCTGCCCTTTTTACCCTTCGTATCTTTTGGTCAGAGTTCACCGTTCCCTCTTAGGGAGTGCCGCTGCAGGTCAAAACCCCGGGGGCAACCCTGTTCCAAGTGTGTCCTGTCCCCCAAAGTATAGTGGATTTTAACATCTGACAGCAGTGGGGGTGGGAGCGGTCAGTGCCCATTAGATGATACCAAGAACCATCTAGCCCATGAGGCAGAGAGTCCCTCAAACTCGTCCTCTCACTGTCATTCAAAAGGAGTTGGCCATCACCCAACCCTGTCAGGACCAGGACCCCAGGGCAGAGCAGTTTCCCTGGTGATCATGGCAGGTCTAGTCACGAGGTGTAGAGCAAAGGGAAGTGTCCTCTGCTGGGGAAGAATCAGAAGGGTGGGTACCCATCAGTCCCAAACACTGTAGGTTGTTGACTCTCACCTAAATCAGAACGAAGTATAGTATTTCACTAACCCATTCCTGGTACCTGCTTGAGATGTTTACTTAAAGCATGAAACATTGTAACCAATTTATTCTTAAATGCTTTCAAAGACACAGGAAGCATTTTAACAAGTCATTCTATCCCTTGAGATGAATTCTGCATTTAAAACTTTTCCCCCCCCCCTGCATTCCCCCCTCCCCTGCCCCCCCCCCCAAGTTGTGGCTAACCATCTATGCTTGCTTTTACTTTATTTTTTGTTTGTTTTGTTTTGCTTCTTGACTTCGAGTAGATGAATAACAAGATGCTTTTCCCTCCTCTAGAACATATCCTCCCCTGAGAGTTCCCCTGCGAATAGGCCCGAGTCCCTGTCACCCGAGGTAGTTATCACACCATCTCAATCACACTTGGAAGCTGAGAGTGAGTGTGCATGAGAATGTTCCCGAGTGTGTGGGGAGGGCTGGGGGAGCCGAGTGAGTGGGGTGATGGGCTGGAGGGTGGCCCGATGGTCACAGTGCGCTGAGTGGATCTTTCCCCGTGTGACTGCAGTGACTCGGAGCTCTCGACCTAGATGGAGGAAAATGGAGTCGCTGTGTGGGGGTGGGGGGCTTGCTTTTATGGCTGTTTGGGGGAGGGGTGGCTGAAGAGTTCTCTTAAAGAATAGAAGTCAAGTTTAAAGGTGGCTGAAAGTATGGTGGGAGCCTTATTAAAGTCTTCCAGATCAGTCCTGTTGAATAAAGAGTAAAGCTGGAGCAGGAATTGGTGGGAACTGTCTTTTGATACTTTCTTGTGCGGGTTAGGCGGGGGCGGGGGTTGTGCCTCATTCCCGACAGCCTTGTCACTGAATGTTTTGAGTTTGATTGACTGAACAGCTTCTCTCGGAGAGAGCCACCCCCAGTTTGGCTGTGTTCCCCTTGTAGCCCTACTGGGCGCATAGGAGGTTGCAGTCAGCCCTGGGCTTCCATGGCTGGGATGGGGCTCCCCTGCGGGGGGTGTCTCCCAGGGTGTCCTTGAGCGTTTTTCTCAGAAACCTTAAAGCCGTGGGGATGTTAAATTCAACTGAATGCTAGAGTTTCTTAACTATTACAATATTTAGACTAATGTGCTGATGCTCAACTCTAGGAACCTATAATGGAACTGATTTCCTCTTGAGAAAGATAGAGTTTGAACCTCTCACAAATTACTGAAATGTTAGCCCCACACCCCCTTCGATAAAATGTCAACACTAAACCGCTGTGACGGCTGACCAGATGCTGACTCAGCAGAATCTTATAGACTAATGTGGACGGGCTAAAGGCTGTATTCTAGTGTGCTGGAGGTTTTCTGGGTGTTCTCCCTCAGTGGCTAAAAATGCTAAGATGGCATCTTGCGGAGGCTGACAAGTTGTGTACCTGGTCCCCCTCCTCTCAGACAGGTAGCTGGAGTTGACCTAGTGGTGGAAAATCTTGGTGTCGGGAAGAAATGATAACCAAGTAATAGATGGGGGTTATTTCTGGTACATTTCAGATGCTCGACAGTGATGGGCACTTGTGGTCTTAGTGGTGTGTTGACATACATGAAGGGAAAAAGAGAATTGCCTAGCCAGACATTTTTTCAAAAATGCACCTCCTTAGTCGTGAAGGTGAATGAAAAACTGGTTGGTTGATGTCGTTAATGCCATTCTCCTTCGCTGAACCAGTCACGTGAATACTTGCTTTCCCTCTGATTTCTTCCTTTCACCTGTTTCCCTCCTCCCACCCTCCATCAGAATTAATGTCTAAGTTAAAAACACCATAAACCAGCTCTCTGAAGACACCAGTCTCACCTCTGTAGCGTCCTCGGGGTGCAGGTAAACCCTCGTTAGGCCGGTCCCCGGGTGTGTGCGCAGTGACTCGGCAAACCTGATGAAAGGCTAAGCAGGCAGAAGCGTCACATTTGGCGGATGACCTAATTCTGACTTTCCCAGTTATTCTCACCCGGAACGGCCGAGGTGCTGTAGTAACTGGCCTGCTTGCGCTGTTGCTGCGTGGGGCTCTCACGGATGTTAATGACTCTCTTTTCTGCTTCTGTCCCTTTTATCTTTCCTTGTTCACCTCTGTCCCTTTCCCTCCCTTCTTTCCCCCCCTTTGACTTTTTCCTGTCTCCCCTACCCCATGTCTCCGTTGATTTTTATTCTTTCAGCTTTGTCACCGGAAAGATCTGGACTTGACGAAAGTCGGCTACCTTGACTCCAACACTAACAGCTGTGCTGACCGACCTTCCCTGATCAGCTCGGGCCCTTCTGACCTGGCTCCTCACCCCTCCATTGTGCCCACCTCTGAGACTGGCTTTCCAAGCAGGAGTGGAGATGGACATCAGAGCCTCATGAGAAACTCGGACCAAGCGTTTCGGACAGAATTCAACTTGATGTATGCCTACTCCCCATTGAACGCTATGCCTCGAGCGGACGGATTGTATAGAGGGTCTCCTCTCGTAGGTGATAGGAAGCCTTTGCATCTGGACGGGGGCTATTGTTCCCCTGCAGAAGGGTTTCCCAGCAGATATGAACATGGTTTCATGAAAGACCTCTCTCGTGGATCCATGTCACCGGGCGGCGAAAGGGCTTGTGAAGGAGTTCCATCTGCCCCCCAGAACCCACCACAGAGGAAAAAGGTAAATGTTTCGTACTATAGGCCCTCTGAAGAATTTAAGTGAACGGTTTGACAGATGTTTACTGGGTTACCACAGTGAGTTCACTATTCTCAGTAGGAGGAAAACAGATAAGTAATACATGGTCTCTGTCACGTCTAGTGAAAGACAGACTATTAGAATACAGTCTGAGGGGTGTTTCAAGTGTTCAGTAAAGTTCAGTGCCTACCACGCGTGTCCCGCATGTTGGTCAGTCAATTCAAAGAACAGAACGGTGGAAAAGAATAGTGCTGGTTACATGTAGTTAGCGCTTCCCAGGTACTCGGCACTGTTAAGCTCTTCCTGTGTGTTTAAGCCTCATCATAGTCTGGTAAGACAGGTCATTCCCCGTTTGCAGGTGAGGAAACCAAGGTGAGTTGTTTAGCACACTGTGGCCACACGGTAGCGCTGCCAGCTCTGATTTGATGGCCGGGGTTGCCTTCTTGGCTCTGCCCTGCTCCAGCCTGCAGCAAGGGAGACCCAGCTTGGCAAATAATTCTATTCATAAGTAACTAAGCACAGTAGTGATGGGTGCTCCGAGGGGGGTACTCAGGTGTGGTAAGAGTATCCTGACAGGGAAACCTGCCCAGTGAGCTGTGGAAAGGACTAGGAGAGCAAACAGGATGCTCTGACATGCTTTGAGAGGCTACAGGTCAGTGACTGAGCTCATCTCAGTGAGGAGGAATCAGCAGCCAACAGTGGAGGGTGAGGATGTTGGGGGAGAGCACAGAGCAGGTAACGATGTCACCCTCCCCTTGGTGGACGGCAGGCATGCAACACGGTGTACACGGTGAGTGTGCTGTGGTGTCCGGTGACAGTGGGAGAGTCGGGAGGAGAACAGGAAGCGCTGGGCTGGGCCAGGCCTGAGAGAGCTGGCTAGCAGGTTGGGACTTGGCTTGTGAGTAACGCCTGTTCTAGAGCTTTCAGAACGAAAAAAGTGCTGCTTGAGTGGGTGATTTTTCAGCTGGGGCACAGGCCCTCTGGGTCTGTGACGGCCGCTTCCGTGCACTGGCAGGGTGGGAGGGGAGTGTCTGCACGTGGCGGGTGCATGGCTTCGCACTCCCTGGAGTGCCTGCTGCCTGAGCTGAGCCTCACGGCTTTTATGCTTGCATTACAAGACACCAGCAGTGTTTGTTCCTACTAACTCCTTCCCAAGGGTGTGTCTAGAAAACACATACACAAGTGTCTTGCTGTGTGAGTGTTACGGATTACACGTTAACAGAAAAACGAGGGTCCCAAGGGCTGGAAGGCCACCCTGGCAGGTAACCTGTGATGACAGCGACAGGTTTAGAAGACTGCGTAGCACTAACCAGCACTGGCGATCGCAGCACAAAGGGAAACAATCTTCGGTTTCCTAGGTTTTGTTTGTTATGTTTGCTGTGTGCAAAAGTGATCGAAATCCTAGTTTGTTACTCATAAACACTGTTGAGGGCCTGCTATAGGCCATGTTCTGTGCTGGATGTTAAAAAGAAGAAAGCTCGATCAACTTTCCCTTTGCCCTGACAGAACTTTCTGTCTAGTGTGGGGGCAGAGAGGTGGGTGGCTGGTGTGACCCCACGTACCCTGCCACCAGGTCAGGAGAGTCCAGAGTGAAGAGTGAGGCCGGGTAGGTGACAGTGGGTGCTGGATTTAGAGTGCGACGAAACAAGTCACCGTTCCTTATCTTTTACACCACTATCCCCAAGTGTGAGCAGGAGGCAGTGAGAAATCCTTGGGTACCACTTGGGAAATTGCACAAGCAAGAACCCGGTAGCCTCGGCCTTTCTCTTTAAGTTTTCCTTTTCTCTCTCTGCAACTAACTCGGGATCCCTAGGGAGTGAGAAAAAGCTGTCAGTCACCTGGGAGGCTCTTTAAAGCTTCACCTCGCTGCCCTCCCTCTGGGTGCTGCTGCTGCTGCTGCAACCAGGGCACCACCTTTCTCTAAAGGCGGGAAAATGGGTGCAGGCCACTGGTGAACATCCTTCTTCAAAGATGCCGTCTCCTAATTTGCTCTCTTCTTCCCAGTTCCAACTGATCTGAGTGTGTAGCTGTGCTCACCTCTCGGACCTGGAAAAAGTGACCAGTGTTGGTGCCTGCTTCGCGTGCGTGGCTTGCTAGTGCGTGACTAGGGTCCTGGCTTCCTTCCGTTCCTCATAGCGAGGGAACCCTCACCGTGTCTGGCTAGAGAGACCTATTTCTTGTTTCCCCTCTAGGTGTCCCTGCTGGAGTACCGAAAACGGAAACAGGAGGCCAAGGAGAACTCCGCTGGTGGGGGCGGCGACCCTGCACAGAGCAGAAGCAAGTCTGCAGGAGCTGGGCAGGGCGGCAGCAACTCACTTTCTGACTCTGGTGCCCATGGTGTGCAGGGATCCTCAGCCCGAACCCCGTCTTCCCCTCACAAAAAATTCTCCCCATCCCATTCCTCTATGTCCCATTTGGAGGCGGTAAGCCCATCAGATTCCAGAGGCACCTCATCTCACTGCAGACCTCAAGAGAATATCAGCAGTAGGTGGTAAGTTTACATCCAATACTGTAGTGATTGAGTTCAGGAAGGAAGTAGACGTCTAGGGTCATTCCCAGTGTCGCCTCAAATGTGCGGCGCACTTAACCTGAGAAAGCCAGCCCACACCACCCTCTGTCCTGCTCAGTCATCATGTCGGCAAAGCAGGGCCAGTGGGCCTGCAGGGCAGCACATGTGGGGGGCATGGGATGGACTGTCTTGTTGCTGGGTGCGCACATACTGCCTCTTCTGTTATATCAAGTGAAAGGTAAGTTGGGGTCGGCTTGGCTCACTGACCAGTAGCCATCATTTCCGTCCCTGCAGCCAGCAGGCTCAGAGCAACCTGAGAAGACCTGACAATTCAGGGCAACTCCAAGCAGAGCCAGGACATTGGTGGTTCAGCACTGGGGTGGGGGCTTGGAAGGCAGTTCAGGGTCTGGAGCTGAAGAAAGGAAGTCTGGGGAAGGAGCAGCTTGGCTCACGTGACTAAGATCATTGATGTATGAAGCCTTGGCTACAATGCTATGTACCAGGCGCTTGACTTCGCAGAAAAGTGATTTTAGCATTTGGAATAAGTTGACACCTTTAAATCCACTTCAGCCTTAATTTCTTTTTCTTTAAAAGTGACTTTTTATGTATGCCTAACATAGTTTGAGGCAGAGAAAATACCTTGTTTGAAATCGGTCCTGAAGAACACTATGCTTAAGAGACTGCACCTTGCACCTTCTCACAGCTTCGTCTGTTCCGGCTCTGGGCTCCAGGATCCAGTGGTGTAAACTCACACCTTTTGCCTTCACAGGATGGTTCCCACGTCAGTAGAACGACTCCGAGAAGGAGGGAGCATCCCCAAGGTCCTCCGAAGCAGTGTGAGAGTGGCCCAGAAAGGAGAGCCTTCTCCCACATGGGAGAGTAACGTCGCGGAGAAAGACTCAGGTGAGCCATGGCGCCCTACTGCCAGCCAGGTTTAGGGACACAGTCTCCCTCTCTCCCCCCCCCACCCCCAAACATGCCCAGGGGAGGTGAGTCGGCTCCTTCCGCGGTTGGGCTCCTCTGTGCGTGAGGCCTGGCTTAGTTGCACTTGCGCTCTTTGGGGCTCCAGCATCCTTGAGATCTAGCGATTGCTTGCTCTCTGTCTGCTCTTTCCCAAGGGATACCTTTCTGTAACTCATCTCTCCAGAGGCCTGGAGATCCACCTTGATGAAGGATGAAGACAAAGGAGGAGACAGGAGTCAGATCAGGCATTTAAAACATAGCCCATAATTAACCATCCATTTGCCCTTCTGGCATGCTGCGCTCAGCCTGACTTGTCACCACGAGAGCAGCTTGGGTTGGTGATGGCGTTGGTGTTTTGAATGAGCAATGACTCTTTCTCACTTATCCTAAAAAGCCACGTTGATGCTTCTGTTTCCTTCCAGACCCTGCAGATGGAGAAGGCCCAGAGACCCTGAGCTCAGCGCTCTCGAAAGGAGCAGCCGTTTACAGCCCCTCCAGATACAGCTACCAGGTGAGACGAGAAAGTGCTGGGCTCGGGCACAGGGGGCCATTCCGGGCTCCGCATGTTCTATCGCCTCGGCCGTCCTTGCAGTCGAGATACCGTCTTTGTATATAGTTTCCGCAGCCTTGGGGAAAAGCCATCGTCTGCTCACCTCCAGGTAATAACTCACACCAGGAGTTAACGTGGCCAGGGACAGCCGGTCACTGTCTTTGGGATCCTAAGGAGAGAGCAAGCCTTGAGGAGGAGGAGGAGGCGGAGGAGCGGCAGTGGTCTTTAATGTTCTCACGCCTCAGTGGCCTCCCGGGGACTTGCCGTCTGCTTACGTTCTTCCTCCCACTCTTTGTAGCTCCTGCAATGTGATAGTCCGAGGACAGAGTCACAGGGCCTCCTCCAGCAGAGCTCCTCCCCCTTCAGAGGCCCTCCCGCCCAGTCTCCAGGATACAGTTACCGGACTGCTGCACTGAGGCCTGGGAACCCCCCCTCCCACAGTTCTTCAGAATCCTCCCTCTCTTCTGCGTCCTATTCCAGCCCTGCCCACCCTGTGTCCACAGACTCGTTGGCCCCATTTACGGGGACCCCAGGGTATTACAGCAGCCAGCCACATTCTGGAAGCAACGCCGGCAGCAGCCTTCCGAGGAGGAGCTGCCCTTCTAGTGCTGCTAGCCCCACCCCGCAGGGCCCCTCAGACTCACCGACCTCAGACTCGGTTTCTCAGTCCAGCACAGGAGCTCTGAGCTCCGCCTCCTTTCCTCAGAACTCTCGGGCGTCGTTGCCGTCGGACTTACGGACTATGAGTCTGCCCAGCGCTGGGCAGACAGCTGCCTACCAGGCCTCCAGGGTGTCCACGGTGTCCACTTCACAGCACTGCCCACACCGCGGGAGCGGGGGCGTGCACCAGTACCGACTCCAGCCGCTGCAGGGGCCCGGAGTCAAGACTCAGACAGGACTTTCCTAGGGCTTCTGGATTTGGGCCAACAGAACTGAGTGAGCCCATAGCTGCTTCCTTCCAGCTGCCTCTGGAACCTCGGCCGAGCATCTTGCTGGGGAAGGGGGGCAGGGTGCCAGAGGATGGGGTCTGGTCGACAAGAAACAAGACTTGTGGTCGCGACTGGCTCTGGCCTTGGAGAAAGATGTAAATCTTGTCTGAAGCAGAGACTATAAAGAAGTTAAGGGTACAGTGACGAGAGAATTGTTGCAGATAGTTCATGGTCCTAAGTGCAATGAGTTGTGTCGACGCCTCCGTCTCCCATCCTTGCCTGTAGCCTGTAGTCACACATGCAGTGAGGACGTATTTTTAAATAAATTTTTTTTTTAAAAAGTTTTCTTTTCAAAGGCAAAAAGTGCAAAGAGCCCATCTCAAAGCCCCGAGCCGTCTGAGCAGTGTCAGGGCCTGTGCGCTTCAGAGCAGAGGTAGGTATCGACGCGCCAGGCCGGCCGGCCGGCGTGCCTGGGAGTGGCCGCGAGCGCACGCCTGGCCTCGGTCTCAGATCACCGCCGAGAAACAGGCAGGGCGAGGGCGGCACGGAGGGGTCGGCGAGCTGTGGTCAGAAGGGAGCTCCTGGCGGGTTATCTGCGCCCTGGGCGCCTAACGCCCCTCCCCCCGCAGCTTGCTCAGCCCCGCGGCCCTGGCAGTCCGCAGGCAGAGGAAGGGACGGTCAGTGAGATGGGCCGGCTGCATCGCTACTTACCCGCTTCGGGCAATAAATTCGGTTTGGAAGGATCCCGGGTGGTTTGGGAGATATTTGGGTTTTATTTTTTCAACTCCCAGTTAATCAGGAGTTGACGATCCCGAGAGTGGACTGCCTCAGCGGGGAGCCCACACTCATGACTGCAGGGTAGGCACGGAAGAGGTGTGTGGAGTGGCCGACAGGACTGTGATTGTGTGTGGCGTGTCCCACGTTTCTTGGGGGTGCTGACTGGAGAGAGGCCAGGTGAGGGGAGCAACCCCACACACACCTCACGCCATTCTGGACGAGAGACGAGGGCAGACTGGCTCCCCCATCAGTGCATTGTGCCTGCTGTGCACCCCTGGAGGAGCCCTGGGGCCAGCCCAGGGGGGTACACAATCTTTTTAAATTCCATACGGTTGCCAGCTTATTTCTTTCACTTGTTTACTGTAATATCCGGCGTGTTTTTATTTATCTAATTTTGTATTCAGTTATAACCACGGTAGGGGTAGCAGATCTCCAACAGGTGTAATCCCTGGTGCTGCAGTGGACCTTACTTCTTTACTTTTGGACAAGATAATACTGTGAGTCTCCCTCCTCCCTCCCTCCCTCCAGTTTGTTTTCTCCCTTTTTGCCCCGGCCTCTTCCATCCCTTTCTTTCTGCCCTGCCCTACACCTGTCATATGCACAGTCTTCTCTCTTTGTGTGTGACTGTTACAAATTTCACTTTTTCAAAATTGAAATCAGGTGTTTGCTCAAATGAGGGGAGATTTTTTTGTAGATGCTGAGACCTCAGCAGAGTGCTTTCCATGTAGTTGTCTCCCCACAAGCCCGTCCGTCTGGGAGAGCATTGGGAGTGGAGATCATGTCGCCTGGGATGCTGGTTCTTTGTATATTATATAAAACGTATGTAAATGTCTCTCCATTTGAGCTGGGGTTTGCAGTCTCCCCTTGGCTGTTCACCGAGGGGAGAGGCCAGCGGGCAGGCGGCCCTCACCCTGCCTGGCACGTGCAGAGACCCCAGCCACTCTGTGTGGGCAGGGTGCTGTCAAGACCAGACCTCTGGGGGGGGGGGCGGGGGGGGGGACTCTTGGAAGGGAAGAAGTCTCACTTCTTTCTCAAGTGGAGTGTTTACACCTTGCTGTAACATTTGAACTTTCACAAGAGATGTAATAATTTTGATAATAAAATTCTTAACCATAATAATCATCAAGTTGAAAACTTTGTCCAGTTCCTTGTCCTAAGCCACCTTACCCGCAGAGGGCAGGCCAGACCTGCGTTCAGGAGCACGGGCTCTGCTTCCGGAGCGTCCTGCCCGCCGTGGAGTGGACGGCGGGAGTGGAGTCGCGTTCCTTTGGCCCTTTGCGATGAAGGCGAGGCTGGGCAGGGCCTGTCGGTAGTGGTGGACTGAACGCCGTGCACACCTGGAGGGGGCAGGGGCTCCTGACTCGTTCCATAAGCAGCTATTTATTGGCTTTTCTCTCTCCCTTTCAAAGATGACGGGCATTGTTTCGGGGACAGGTCTGTGCTGTTCCAGTGGAGGTTTGGATGGGCACACGAGGGCTTCGTCCTCGGGCAGCTTCCAGCCCCGAGCCAGGGTGCTCTCAACCCTGGCTCCAGATGTCACTGCACAGCTGCATGCTGCTGCTCACAGCTGTTTGTAACTGGGGGCTCGGGGGCCACTCCAGATGTTAGAATTTAAAGATGCGAATCTGGGGAGTGAATGCAGTGTTCCAGGTGTATCGCAGGGCTTCTGGGAGAGGTTTTATCGGAATTTGCAAGGTTCTGCTACATGTTGACTAAGCACGTATGGCGCTCGCTCTGGGTAAGGCGCTTGGTGTGCACAACCAATCGCCTGTTCAAAACTAGTGGTCTGTTCCTGTTTTTACCAAGTAGCTCCCTACTCTTTTACTTCAGTATTTGGCTTTTGATAGGATGTAGCTAAAAACAACAGTGTTCAAGGGCTAAGCCTGCTCCTCCGGGCCCCTGACATGCCACTTCCTAGTTGCCAGGCTCGTCCACTTACGTCATCAGTGCTCACATTCACACTCAGTGTGCAAGGTAGGTATTTTTCCCATTTTATTATTTTTTAAATGAGTTTCAGAACATTTCTCCAGGTTTCTCTTCTTCTAAATAGCAGGCCCAAGCCAACAGTTGTGAGAATTTTGCAGTTTACCCAAGAAACAGACAGCTAGAGAGGCTTGGACCTCATGTGAAATCACATAGTGTCCTAGCTGGGAACCCCAGTCTGGCCTTCAGGCCCGCGGGCATTGGGTCACTGATGCAGTCCTTGTTCAGAGATCACCCTGAAGAGAAGATGCCCCATTGTCCGACAGGAGTGAGCCATTTGCCCTGAAACGACACCGCTTGTCAACTCATCTGCCAGAGCCGGGACAGCCTCTAACCTGCCCTGAGGCTCTGGAAGAGGAGGGGTCTGCTCGGCTCTTAATGCACACCATGCTAAAGGTGAAAGAAAGCGACCTGTAGAGAGAGCTGCTGAAGAGGTGGTTCTCACCTGTGTTCTCACCTGCTTCTACCTCCAAAACATCTGGTAGAGATTCTGAGATCTTCGATTTGCTTATTTCTCCAGAACCCCTATAAAAGCACACACACTAGTCATGATTGCAAATGAAACCTTGAACAACTTCACGGGAAAACTAGGTACACCTGTGACCCCAAATCACAAGGTAGGTAGAAATAAGCAGCCAGCAAGCTGGTACCCTTTCTTGTCTCAGGAAGTGCTGGCGCTCAGGTGCTCAGAGCAAGTACTTGAAAGCTCATCAGGAGCCAGGAGAAGGGCTTGCAGCGAGTGCAAAGGCCGCAGCTTACGTCTCGGGGGCTGGAGCAGCCTGATCCCAAGACAGTTCTAACCGGCAAAGCTCCATGCTGGGGAAGAACACTCTTGACAGAAGACAAGTTCCACAGGACCCTCAAGATGGGGGTGGGGGACTACTTTGAGTGAAGTAATTTGATTAAGTGAAATTGGTATTGTCCTTCTAGGGGCAATATGAGGATATTAAACAGCTGATCATGTTAACTCCTGAAACAATGAATTCTGAGCCTATCGTGTGCTGGATTTAAACAGCTAGTTTTTCGCACCATCCAGATTTTAGTGCCATATACAGAAAGGCAAATACCTCCACACACCGGGAATAGAGGGGAATGTCCTCAGCTTGACAAAGGACGCTTGCCCAAGAGCCCACAGCTAACAACCAGTGGTGAGAAACTCGAAAGTACTGTCGTGAGGGCAAGAACAAGGAAAGGCCCCCTCTCACCAATCTGTCAGCATTAAACTGGAAGTTCTAGCTAATACAATATGACAAAAGAAAAGAAATGGGAGGGAAAAGCAAAACTTTGTTCACATGACATAAATGTAGAAAATTTAACAAAGAAATCACCCCCATCCCCATGGTGGAATGAAGCATTTACAGCAAGGTTGCAGGAAATGATTCATATACAAATGTAACTTGCTTTCGTACATAAAGAACAAACACTGAGATCTGAATTTAAAACTAATATTTGCATCAGCACCCATAAAAATACAAGACCCAGTTGCGGAGAGCTACACAACTGATGGAAAAAAGATGGATTGGAAAACCAGATAGCAATTCTCGATACAGGGATTCCTAATCCCAATAAAACGCTCAGGAAGTTATTTTGTGAATATCAACAAACATGGAAAGACCAAAGACCCAGGGCAGCCAGCCAGAGGACTAACAGCCTGAACCATCATCCCTAGAAGACAGACTTCAGTACTCGGCGCAAAGCTGCAGTGATCATCACTAGAGTAAGAACAGGCAAGTTGGTCAGCTGATCTTTGGCAAATGATCAAAGTCAGTACAATGGAGAAAAGATGTCTGTTTTTTTTTTTTTTTTTTAATTTTTTTTTTTTAAGATTTATTTATTTATTTATTTATTTATTTATTTATTTATGCAAGCACCTGGGTACAGTCAGAAGCGCGGGAGGGTGAGAGAATTCACCAGAGCCAGAGCGGGGAGCAGAGCAGGCAGAAGGACCGAAGGACACTGCTGAGGGGAGCAGCGGGCGGCAGGAGAGGTCTGCGCGCCATGTGGGACCCTCGCCCGGTGGCCGGGGAGCAGCCGGGGATCGAACCGGCGCTGCAGAGGCTGCGGGCAGCTTCGCAGCCCAGCGCTCAACCGCTGCGCCACCTGGGAGGCCCCAGAAAAGATACCTTTTCAACAAACGGTGCTGAAACAGCTGGACATCCTCATGTATACAAGAGAATCTAAACACAGGCCTTACACCCTTCATAAAAATTAACTCAAAAGAGCATGAAAATGTATCACCAACCTAACTGAGAAATGCAAAACTACTAAACACCTATAAATTTACACAGAAGAAAATCTGGGAAACCTTGGACTTGGCGGTGCCTTCCATGAAAGAAAGAGGTTACTTGATTAAAATTAATTTCTTCTCTGCAGAAGACCCTGTCAGGAGAGTAAGTAGCCACAGACTAGGAGATATTTGAAAAAGGATGCATCTGGTAACAGACTTTCATCCAAAATTCACAAAAAAAGGCTGAAAACAGTAACAAGAAAACATCCTAAAGCAATCGACAGATTCGGTGCAGTCCCTTTCTAAGCTCCAGCACCATTTTTCACAGAAATAATC